GGAAGCTCAGCAGGGCCTGAGCTGGCAAGAGAGGGGGCTCATGAGTTTCAAATGTCCCTCGATAGAGGGCACATAGGGACAGAGGTGGAGGGCTGTGGGCTCTTGAGGAGGTAAGGGGGTGCATTCGGTAACTTTGTCCATCAGTAACATAAACATTACTCCTACTGGGGCCCGAAAGATAGGGCAGGCGTTTGCCTGGCACACAGCCAACCTGGGTTTGACCCCCGGCACCCCATATGCTCCTGGGAGCACTGCCAGGAGTGATCCCTGAATGTAGTGCCAGGATTAAGCCCTGAACAGCACCAGGTATGGCCCCCAAACCAAAAGAAAGCTAAAAACAAAAACATTACCCCTATTATAACCATGTTCCCTAAATTATACTTTATTTTAAAAGAGGGAATAAAAGGGGAAAAAGTAAATAAATAGCAAAAGAATTATTCAAAAAATTAAATTCATCTTCAAATAAGCAGATTTAAATTGTTTCTTCAGACTGGGTTTAAGGCTTAAAGATAACGCACCTGCTTTTGCATGTATAAGGAACTGGGTTCTCCAGCACTGTAAGTGTTTCCACAGCTCTGTGATGCACCCTCTAACCAACTATTGGTAACTTTTTTGTAACACTTCAGTATCTAGAGAGGCAGTATAGCTGGTAGGGCACTTGCATTACATGCAGCTGATGTGGGTTCAATCCCCAAAATCCCATATGGTCCAACAGCCAGGCCAGGAATGATCCCTGAGCCCAGAAGTGATCCCTGAGCACAGCAGTAAGCCCTGAGCATGGCCCCCAAACAAACAAACAAAAATTAACTACTTTACGTGTGTTATGTTTTGCTGATCAAAACCACACAGACTCCTGCACCAGCCCATTGGCTGTGGTTTGCTAGCGAACCACCAGCTCAGCCTCAGGCCAGACTTGGGATTACCAGGGGAGTTTACAGAATGCAGCCCTCCCCCTCACCCCCCTCTCCTTCCCCAGGGATCCTGATTCCACCTCTTCTGACACAAGGCCACACTTGGAGAGTGAGGGCTCACCAGGTCTGTCTGGGCCCCTCCTTAGCAGACAGACTAAATAACACCTGGGACAGAAATCAAAACTTCTCAGTGGCTTGATACTTGAGGGCTTCCTGTTAAAAGAATTGCACAGACTTACTGGGTCTTGAAAAAGGAAGGAAATTCTGGCCTACACAACACTGGGGATAACCCTAAGTACATTTTGCTAAGTGAAGTGAAGCAGTCACGAGAGGATTGCCGTCCAGTTCCCCAGACCCAAGAGACTGGAGTTGTTACATTCTTGGGGACAGAATAAAGTGGCAGCTGCTCCTGGGAGTCTATATTTAATAGGCATCTACTGCAGAGGGTTTAATTTATTCTTTCTTTATTCAGAAAGAATAAACTACTCAGAGCCCCCTAGAAGTCCACTTTCTTTAAGTTAAAAAAAAAAAGAAGCACCCCTCCTCAATTGCACCCAAGGCTACCCTCACCCCCTGGTCATTCCAGCACCCCTAAGTTCCAGGATGGTGTCACTTTGGGAAACACTGGATTTGAGTTTCACCTGGGGAAGATGGACAGGTTCTGGAGGTGGATGGCTGAATGCCATGGGGAAATTGTATTAATAACTGGTCGGACTGGAGAGATAGATAAGACCCTTGCCTTGCACACAGACAACCCAGTTCAATCCCAGGCACTACACAGGGTCTCCTAGCACTGCTGGGAGTGACTTCTGAGGACAGGGCCAGGAATAAGTCCCAAACACTGCCAGCTGTGACCCTGAGACAAAATGGAACAGAAATAACCAATAGAGTAAACTTGCAGCTACAAAACCCCTTCCTCATAGCGTAGACTTCACCATGCTTTCAAATAAAGTCTTTTTAAAAGACAAATACCAGCTATTAGGATCCCACATTTTAGGTGGAGTTGAAACACACGTGATTAAGGCCAACCGCCCAACCCAGGTTGCACTCGGAGGAGGTGCGGGTGTCCGTGTGTCTGTCTCATGGCTAATCTGCCCAAGACTCAGCACTGACTGTGAGGGGGCTCAAGGTGCTGTTTTAGACCTGGCTGGTAGGAAACACCCACAGCTAAGAAACACTCAAATGTGGGAAAAAATCATTTACCAATCCTGGTTTTCGGTAGCAAACCACAGAAGCCAACTCTGGCCAGTGTAAACAGGGTTTTCCCCAGAAGATCAGGTTGGTCACAGAATGATTAGAGAACTCAACTGACAAGAGCCTAGGAAACCACCCTGCGCCCTGGACTCTCGGCTCAGCCCCCAGCCCCCTCTGCCCTGAGCCAGGCCTCACTGTCTCTGCGGTTTGTCATCATCCTTCCTCAGATTCCACACCCAGTCATCACCACTCCAGATCCCAGCCTGCAAGAAGTGGGGCAGTTTACCACCTCTGCCGCTTTACCAGGGACCCCAACACACACACACACACACACACACAAGGCCACACTTGGAGAGTGAGGGCTCACCAGGTCTGTCTGGGGCCCCTCCTTAGCAGACAGACTAAATAACACCTGGGACAGAAATCAAAACACACACACACACACACACACACACACACCACACCACACCAGGAAGGGTGTTCAGCCAAATGCAGCTTGGGACGCATGCACACTGTCTCTGTGAGGTCTCTTATATCCCTGGCTCCCTGGCTCCTCAAAACTTCAAAATCATAAATGATGGGTACAGGTGTCAGCCGCAGCGGCCGGAAAGATAATCTAGTGGGTCAGGCTCTTGCCTTGCACATGGCTGACCCGAATTTAATCCCTAGCATTCCATATGGTCTCCTGACCCCCGCCAGGAGTGATTCCTGAGTGCAGAGCCAGGAGTGAGTCCTAAGTACCACCTGAAAAAAAATTTCTTAAGTTAAATTTTAATAAGCATCTTTTCCAGGAATTCATTGGTAAAATTGGAATCAATAATTGATTTTAAAAAAGTCCACTCGAAGATTAGTACCAGGAATTTTGCTCTATGACTTGAAGGCCAGCCACACGTGCTAGGTGAAAAGTAAGCTCAGATAGAGAAGAGAGCACCAAATAAAGGGTATTGTGAGGACACTCCCAGGGTGGGAGAAGCATGCTAAAAGTAGTCTATAGACCAAACATGATTGCCACTCAATGCCTCTCTTGCAAAACACAGTACCCAAAAGAAGAGAGAGAGAACAAGGGGGAATGCCCTGCCACAGAGGCAGGGTGGGATGGGGGGCATGGGGGGTGGGAGGGATGCTGGGACCCATGGTGGTGGAGGATGGGCACTGGTGGAGGGATGGGTACTTGATCATTGTATAACTGAAACCCAAGCACAAAAATTTATAAGTCTATTAACTGTACCTCATGGTGTTTCACTAACAAAAAAATTTTTTAAAAAAAGTCCACTCGAGGGGTTGGAGTGATAGCATAGCAGGTAGGCCCTTTGCCTTGCACGCAGCCGACCCAGGTTCGATTCCCGCATCCCATATAGGTCCCCCAGCACTGCCAGGAGTAATTCCTGAGTGCAGATCCAAGAGTAACCCATGTGCATCACTGGGTGTGATCCAAAAAACAACCAAAAAAAGTCCACTCAAGTGGATTCCGGTGTAGCCCCAGATACAGCATATCTCCTGCAGTCCCTGCATCTGCTTCTGATCCTTTGGCCACCTGCTTTGGATCACAAAGGAGAGTAAATAAGAGTGTTTGGGTCACAGGCATCCGTCAGTGACCCCACTGGGACGCGAGTCCATGCAGGTGCTTCTACTGGGTGATTCCAGGGCACTTTCCTGGTCCCTTCTGCTTCCTCTGCTGGGCAGCTCTCCCCGGTCTCTCTGGGTACCTTGTGCACCGATGCCTCAAACAAGCTCTGACCTTGCATGGACAGAGCTTACAGTGAAATCTTGATGCTGGCTCTGTTGTCAGTCCCCCTCCCTTCCCTTTATTGTTCGCATTGCCTGGGGTTGGCACCCACTTCATTGCAGAGCTCACCAGGCGCCCCTCTGTGTGGTGCTCGCACACACCTGGATGCAGTGCACTTCATGGCAGGCCCCAGGGGTTTCAAACAGCACTGGGCTCAGACACAGTGTGTGGGTCTGTGCCAGATCGAACTCTTGACCTCATGCCTGCAAGGCAAGTGCTCTAGCCCTGAGCCATGCCAAGGCCCATAATTGACTCTTTATATATTTCTTGTGGGAGCCACCCAGAAAGCCCGTGGTTTCCCTCTATTCTAAACGGGCTACGAAAGTAAACTGGCCCGTGTTCTGAACAATTCTTTGTCCTCATCGAAGGGAGCGCCACAGTGGGACAGACTAGACAGGGAAAGTGTGAAGGAAAGAACTCAGGCATGCATGGCGAGGCTTACCATGTTCAGGGCAGGGGCTTTAGGGACTTCCTCCTGGGGGGAAGTCGAGGAAAAGACTTGGGGAGGCATACACAGGAGGTGTCTACATCTCTGGATCCTTTACTGTCTTTATTAAAAATGCATCTTGGGGGACTAGAGCAATAGCACAGCGGGTAAGGCGTTTGCCTCGCACATGGCCGACCCGGGTTCAATTCCCAGCATCCCATATGGTCCCCTGAGCACTGCCAGGAGTAATTCCTGAGTGCAGAGCCAGGAGTAACCCCCGTGCATCTCTGGGTGTGACCCAAAAGGGAAAAAAAGTATTTTGTGGGGGGGCTAGAGAAACAGTAGAGTGGGTGGAGGACGTGCCTTCTACACGGCTGACCCAGGTTTGTTCCCCGGTACCACATATGCCCAAATGGTCTCCCAAGTACCACCAGGAGTGATTCCTGAGCACAAAGCCAGGAGGAAACTCTGCATCACTGGGTGTGACCCAAAGACAAAAAAAAAAAAAGAAATAATAAAGGGGGCTAGAGGGCGCTAGCAGTGTGACTCAGCCCCAGAAGACGTGTCTGCCTCTGTGAGACCCTGGGTTCTTACCCTGGAGCCCCCCGCTGGCACTGACTCCAGGGTCCCCCTTGGCAATGCATCTTAAATCATGTACTCAGGACAGCATTTCTTCCCCCAGGCTATGACTTCTGCCAGGTCCTGCAGTGGTTTGCTGAGCGAGTGGACAGGATCATCCTGCTTTTCGACGCTCACAAGCTGGACATCTCAGATGAGTTCTCAGAGGCCATCAAGGCCTTCCGGGGCCAGGACGACAAGATCCGTGTTGTGCTGAACAAGGCCGACCAGGTGGACACGCAGCAGCTGATGCGCGTGTACGGAGCCCTCATGTGGTCACTGGGCAAGGTCATCAACACGCCCGAGGTGCTGCGCGTCTACATCGGCTCCTTCTGGGCTCAGCCCCTGCAGAACACGGACAACCGCCGCCTCTTCGAGGCCGAGGCCCAGGACCTCTTCAGGGATATCCAGGGTCTCCCACAGAAGGCGGCCGTGCGGAAGCTCAACGACCTCATCAAGCGAGCCAGGCTGGCCAAGGTGAGCGGGGCAGAGCCAGGGGCCTGACTGGGGGACGGGGGGAGCCTGAGGGACGCAAGTAAGAGCCTCCAGATTAGGGCCCCTGTTGGAATTCTTTTTGCAATGTGCTCTCAGCTGGATGGCTTCTGTCCACATCTGTTCCAGTCTCTGCAGTGGAGCAGATGAGGGCACCTCTCAGGGTGTGGGTGAGGAGTCAGTGTGAGGAGTGTGATGTGCGTCCTGCTTGGCACGACCCCAGGGCTCAAAGGGGCCTGTGTGCCCGGAAGCTGCTAATACAGTAGAACCAGGCTGGAGCGATAGCACAGCGGGTAGGGTGTTTGCCTTGCACGCGGCAACCCGGGTTTGGTTCTCAGTATCCCATATGGTCCCCCGAGCACTGCCAGGAGTAATTCCTGAGTGCAGAGCCAGGAGTAACTCCTGTGCATCACCGGGTGTGACCCAAAAAGCAAAAAAAAAAAAAAAAATTATAGTAGGACCATGGGACTGTGACCGCCTGAGCCAGAGAGCCCAGTGAGGCACTCAGGTGTCACCCCCAGTGCCTAAGGCATAAAGCTCCCTGACACCCCAGAACCCCAAGGAGCCCTGGGAAGCCTGACTCAACCGGGGACTGTTTGGGTGGTGCTGTTGTTCCCACTGCACCAGTGGGAGCTAAACCTGGAGCATTGAGCGCCAGCGGGCAGTCTGTGGACCTCCCCACACAGGTCATGACTCTGTCACATCTCTGAGGAACAGAAAGCACGAGACTCCCAGCAAACATCTCACAAAGCGTTTCATGCCCACGTAGCTCATGGTTTTGTGCTCTGAGGGGGAGACAGCACAGCCAGGACAGCCCCACATGGGTCTCCAGGCCCTGCCACACGCAGGGGCATGTGTGAGTGTGAGGGTGTGCATGTGTGTGTGTGTGTGTGTGTGTGTGTGTGCCCATGAGTGTATGTATCCATGTGAGTGCATATGTGTGCAAGTGTGCATGTATGTGTGCCCATGTGTGTACCATGTATGTCCATGTGTGTATATGTGTGGAGTGCATGTGTGGGTATGTGTATGTGTGCCTATGTGAGTGCGTATCAGTGTGAGTGCATGCAAGTATGAGTATGTGTGAGTACATGTATATATGTGAGTATGCTTGTGTGCACATGTGTGCATATGTGTGCCCTATGAGTGTATGCCCATGAGTGTATATCCATGTGAGTGCATGGTTGCATGTGTGTGCCTATGTATATGCATGTGAGTATGTGCATGTGTGTGCAGGCAGTGCCTGAGGTGGCAGAGTGGAGGGTGTCAGCCAGTGGAGCTGTGCCTTGCACACATGCATACGCCGTATGAGCATATGAGCATTCGTCATTCCTCAGGTACTCTGACCTGCAGCCTAGTTTAGGAGCCGGAGCTGGAGTCTGTCCTGACTCCCCCACAGCAAGTTTACCAGGACCAGGTCAGATAGCTGATGTGCAGGGTCTCCTGACCCACTCGTGACAACTCCAGGACTGAAGGACAGCACTCCCTGCTCCTGCTCTAACCTCCGCTCCAGCTGACTGCAGCCCTGAGGGCCCCCAAGTCCCCTGCTCTCTGACCGGAAGTCAGGCCAACCCACTTCCCCTTGCCTTCTGGAGAAAAAGAACCCACCCCCTCCCACACCCGCCTGCTGCCAAGGGCTGCAGGCCTGACCCTCAGGACCCAGCTCCACCTCCTTCAGCCCACGCTTGCTCAGCTCCTGCAGACCAGGACAGGGAAGCCTGTCTGAGAAGATGGGGCCACACCCATCGCGCCCCTTTTCAAACTCCATATGTCCACTGGGCTGAGGCGTTGCTTCGAGGGGCCTCTCTGGGGAGGCAGGGAAGGCTTCCCTCACTCACCCCCTCACATTCTGGAGAAACTCTTCCTGCTGCACGGCCCATGGAGAATTCTGTGTCTAGGGGCTGCAGAGATAGTACAGCATGTCAGGCACTTGCCTTGGACACAGCCAACTCAAGTTTGATCCCCAGCATCCCATATGGTTCCCTGAGCACCGCCAGGAGTGATTCCTGAGTGCAGAGCCAGGAGTAACCCCTGAGCATTGCCATGTGTGACCCAAAGACTAAAAAAAGGGGAAAAAATGTAATTCTGGAGGTACTCTTATCCTCTGCTCAATTCTTATCCCAGTGTGTCCAGTGCTGAGTGCTTAGTGCTCAGTACACATAGTACTCAGTTACTTGGTACTCAGGAGCCCTTTTGCTTAGTGCCCTGCTGCAGCTCTTGCTCCCTCTCCCTGCCACAGCTCATCTAATCTGCAGCCGCAGGTGCTTCTGTGAGTCGGGACGCCTTGCCCTCTCTTCTGGCCACAGGCCCTTCTGTTTGGAAATACGTCCCCTTTTGCCCCAATTCTGGTGGCAGTGGTGAGTGCACCGCTCACTCCCTGCTCCCCTGAAATGATTTCTCTGTCCCGCCTGGCCTGGGCACAGTGCCTGCTAACAGCATGTGGCATCTCTCTTCTCCAGCTGGCACCACTGACCTGAGCCCTTGGGAACACAGCACCCCACCCTTCTCTCTGACCAGAGCTGGCCAATCTTTGGGGCCAGTGGAGAGGTGGGGGGAATAGAGTTTTGTGTTGTTTTTTTTTTTCTCGCTGAACCCAGAGCTGCTTAGGCTGACTCCTGGCTCTGCACTCAGAAATCATTCCTGGTGGGACTCGGGGAACCATATCGGATCCTGGGGACCAAACCCAGGCAGCCATGTACAAGGCAGGCACCCTACCCACTGTACTATACTATCGCTCTGGCCCCCGGAGTCTCAAGACTTGAGGGGACTACTTTTCAGTGCCTATGGATATTTTTCACAGGTGGACCTTACTGTGGGCTCCAGACAAAACAGGACTCAAGCCTGTAATGAACCGGCAGCTCAGCCACACAGAGCATCCTGGGAACGGACATCCCTGCTCCCCTCAGAAACGGGTCAGCCTGGGCTCAGGGAGGCACAGATACCACTCTGTGCTCTGAGTAGGAACAATGTGGGTCCTTGTGTGGAGGTGGGGGACAGGGGGCGGCCAACTAGCTTAACTTCTAGGAAAAACAGCCTGACTCTTGTCTGCCAAGGAATCATCGCTGGCCTGTTCCTTCACGCTGAAGGAGAACGTTGGAAGTGAGGCTGTTTCCAGCCTGTACTTTTCAGTGCCAGCACACTCCTAGGCAGCCTCAAGCAGCCCGGGCACAGGAAGCACTCTTAGCTGCATGGGGGTTAAAAAGGAGAACTCAGAACAATGGCCCCAGCTTCAAGCACTGGCCAGTCACTTGAACCCATCAGCAGTTTTGTGGCTGTTTGGGGATTTGTTAATGCTGAAATGGACACAAAGTCTCCTGAGCTATGCTCTTTGCTGAGTTTATAAAAATGCTACAAATGGGGCTGGAGCAATAGAACCGCAGTTAGCGAGCTTGCTTTGCATCTGACCAAACCAGGGTTTGATCCCTGCATCCCATATAATCCCCTTATCACTGCCAGGAGTGATCCCTGAGTGCAGAGCCAGAAGCACTGCCGGGTGTGACCCCCAAACAAAAAAATGCTAAGCCTGGGGGCCTGGAGAGACAGTACTGGGAGTAAGGCATCTACTTGGCACCTCTGACCCTGGGTCCATCCCCTGCACCATACATGGTCCCCGGAGCCCTGCCAGGAGTGAGTCCTGAGCACACAGGCAAGAATAGTCTCGGAGCTTTGCTGAGTGTGACCCAGCTCCCTCACTCCCACCCACCTCCCTCCCCCCCCCATGTGGTTTCTGGTTTGGGTTTTTTGTTTTGTTTTGTTTTTGCTTTTTGAGTCACACCCGGTAATGCACAAGGTTACTCCTGGCTTTGCTCTCAGGAATTACTCCTGGCGGTGCTCAGGGGACCATATGGGATGCTGGGAATCGAACCCAAGTCGACTATATGCAAGGCAAACTTCCTACCTGCTGTACTATTGCTCCAGATCCTGGTTTGGGTTTTGTTAAAGGGGAAATTAACATTTAGGGAAAGACAAGGAGAGGGCGTCTGAATGGGGTTCACTGTGGTTCTATGGACTTCAGTTTCATCTCTAGGCATGCTTCCTTAGATACAGCTCAGGCGCTGAGCTCTGCTTTCTGGTGTGTTTGCATTGCTGGACCCGCCGTAGAAACACTGGAGTGTGGGATCATCCTACAGTAGCTGGTGGCGAGTCCTTAAATGATCAGCCCCACGGGGCTTTTAAAAATAGCTCAGGGACAGCACAGCGGGATAGGGCATTTGCCTTGCATGCAGCTGGCCTCAGTTCGATTCCCGCATCCCATATCATCCCCCAAGCACCTTCAGGAGTAATTCCTGAGTGCAGAACCAGGCGTAACTCCTAAGTATCTCTTGGTGTGACCCAAAAAGCACTGTAGTAGTAGCACTGTCCTCCCGTTCATCAATTTGCTGGAGCGGGCCCAGTAACGTCTCCATTGTGAGACCTGTTGTTACTGTTTTTGGCATATTGAATACAACATGGGGAGTTTGCCAGGCTCTGCCATGCCGACGAGATGTTCTCAATAGCTTGCCGGGTTCTCCGAGAGGGGCAGAGGAATTGAACTCAGGTCGGCTGAGTCAGCTGCTTGCAAGGCAAAAAAATAATAGCTCAAAGGTGATGTTAGTTTATAAAGGTGCAGCTTCGCATGTGGGATGCAGGTTTGATCTCCAGCACTGCATGGTCCCTCTGAGTACCACTGGGGGTGACACCCCCCCACACCACACACACCACACACACACACACACACACACACACACACACACGCACACACACACAAATGGTAAAAGTAGCTGACCAGGACAGCTGAGAGTGCATGTCAGCGCCCCACCCAGGTGAGGAAGAATCTCTCTAAAGGGTCCTCAGAGAGGCGGCGTGGCCCTTGGTGCCAGTGTGGACCAGCAGCAGCCCCCACTTGAATGTGGTTTCCTTGAGCAGTTTGCAGCTCCTGCCGCGGGGCTTGTGTGGGTCCCGGGAACCTCTGGGAGGAGGAGTTGAAGGAGGCTGAAGGAGCCCCGCCAGCGTTCTCGCCACCATTCTCCGGACTCACCTGGCACCTCGTAAGCCTTCAGAGAGGCTGAAGGAACCCCGTCCTGGTCACTGTCTTTGGGGGCCTGGGGAGATGCGGGCCAAGGTGGCCACACAGAGGCGTGGGACGCGAGCTGCCCCAGCACAGGCCCAGGAGCCTACGGGAGCTCAGGACTCAGGCCCCGGGAGGAGCCCACAACTGACAGAACCTCCCCCTCCCTCCCACGGGGTCCTCAGTCCTCAGCCCCAAGCACTGTGAGGGCTGAGATGAGGGCAGGAGTCCCCCCGAAGTGGGGAAGCTATGGGAGTGCCCAGCACACGCAGTTCAGCCCAGGAACGCACCCCTCGGGGATGGGCTGGGGGACCATCCTGGGGGCTGGGAGCTGTTGGTGACTTGGCCATCTCCGATAGGACCAAGGTGCCCCTACCCAAGGTAAGGGGGTCTTGGGGAACCCTGCAGGAGCCTGGCCTCAAGAAGGGGCTTTAGACAAAGCCCTTGAGGATGGGGGTGTAAGCATCTGTGCCCCAAAACGCTGTCGGCCGAACACCAAAGACAGAGACAACTGCAGAATCTGGGGTGATGGCTCTAGCAAGCGACTGATTCTCCTTCCCCAGTGAGGGTGTTCTGCCTTCCAGTCCCCCCTCCTGTTCCCCCATCCTTATCTCCCTGGAGAAATGACTGGTCACCCCACATGCCCACCCTCAGGAATGCAGTGGAAAGGCTCCCTCTGCTCGCACAGGGCCGGCGTGAGTATTTCAGTTGCCCTACAGCATCTTCTCGGCTGGGTGCTCTCCGTGGGCTGGGGCCCCCCGGGGCAGCTTCCTGCCTGCTCAGCCTCCTGATTTCATTTCCATTCTTCCACGAGGCTCCAGGAGAAGCCTGTTTCCTGTAATAGCATTTTCCACCGCTGCACTCTCATTTTCTTTCGGTAATCACCTCTCTGCTTCCCATCCACTCTGATGTCAGTCCTTGTCCTGAGTCCCACATGGCCCTTGTGCGGGGCTCAATCTGCAGAGAACTCCGGGAAGGAGCGTTTCTTAACATCAGGGCACTGTGGGCAGAGCCCTCCAGCAGGACCTGCCACCTTTGAGAGATAGGCCCAGTCCTTGGCTCTTTGGACTGGGGTCCCTCGCTCAGAGGTTGGTCCCAGGCAAGCCAAGCTTGTGGGTACGATGGATACCACCTACAGAGACCCCAAGTCTCAGCTGCCCCCAGGCCAATGGGGGGGTCCTGTCCACAGTAGACACAAACTTCCAGGATCACCTGTCACCTCCCAGTGCAGAGGACCCCAGATGCATTTGTCCTACTTCTTCCTTTCACAGAGAAAAATCTTTTTAAAAAAATTAAAAAAAAAAAAAACAGAGAACACCAAATAAAGGTGTTGGGAAGATCCTCCCAGGATGGGAGAAGCATGCTGAAAGTAGACTATAGACCAAACATGATTGTCACCCATTGCCTCTTTTGCAAACCACAACACCCAATAGGAGAGAGAGAACAAAAGGGAATGTCCTGCCACAGAGGCAGGGTAGCATGAGGGGGTTGGGGGGTGGGAGGGATACTGGGATCTGTGGTGGTGGGAAACGGGCACTGGTGGAGGGATGGGTATTTGATCATTGTATAATTGAAACCCAAGCACAAAAATGTGTAAGTCTGTAACTGTACCTCATGATGTCTCACTATTAAAAAAAAAAAATCGGAAAGCCGGGGCTAGAGCAATGCACAGCAGATAGGGTGTTTGCCTTGCATGAGGCCGACCCCGGTTCGATTCCCAGCATCCCATATGGTCCCCCAAGCACTGCCAGGAGTAATTTCTGAATGCAGAGCCAGGAGTAACCCCTGTGCATCACTGGTATGACCCAAAAAGCAAAAAAAAAAAAGAAGAAGAAGAAGAACCAGAAAGCCATGTTTTAAAGCAGAGCCAGTGCAACCCAAGCCCCTCCTCTGTCTTTGAGCTATAAAGGAGGTGTAAAGTAAAGTAAAGGCCCTCCCGTTGATCATCGATTTGCTCGAGCGGGCCCAGTAACGTCTCCATTGGAGACTTTGTTGTTACTGTGTCTGGCATATCGAATACTCTCGGTAGCTTGCCGGGCTCTCCGAGAGGGGCGGAGGAATCGAACTCGGGTCGGCCATGTTGGCTGCGTGCAAGGCAAACGCCCTACCGCTGTGCTAATCGCTCCGAAGGGGGAAAATATACGTAGAAAAATTTCTTACTCATAGCATAGCACTCTCGGAGAGCCCGGCAAGCTACCAAGAGTATCTCGCCCGCACGGCAGAGCCTGGCAAGCTACCCGTGATGTATTCGATATGCCAAACAGTAACAACATGTCTCACGAAGGAGACGTTACTGGGCCCGCTCGAGCAAATCGATGAACAACGGGAGGACCGTGACCGTGACCGTGACTTTCTTGAAACTCTACCTTTTTCTTTTTTTTTTTTTTGCTTTCTGGGTCACACCCGGCGATGCACAGTGGTCACTCCTTGCTCATGCTCTCAGGAATTACTCCTGGCAGTGCTCGGGGGACCAATGGGATGCTGGGAATCAAACTTGGGTCGGCCGCCTGCAAGGCAAATGCCCTATCCGCTGTGTTATCGCTCCAGCCCTGAAACTCTACCTTCTTTAAGCAAATAGAAAATACCCCCAGTTACTCTCAGGGCAACAACCTCCTGACCTTGGCCCATCCTCCCAACGCCCCTTCCTCGTCCAATCCTTCCAGCACTCACTTTAGGAAATGCTCTTCGGGGATCTTTCCCTGTCTGCTCCCCCTCCCCGCATCTGTGTGGGGTCTTCTATGCTCAGGGGGCTCTGGGTTCCCACCCCGGACCTCAGCTCCATCGAGTGGTGCCCGCCCTCTACATACCAGAATCCTACCTGCCTGGGGCATGGCCCCATCTCTCCCGGCCCCTTCGTTCCCTGTCCCGAGGACCGTGGTCCTACACCCGAGCTGGGAGGTGTCCCCACCACCATCTACACAGAGCACCTCATCCTCTCTGGCTTCTGTGTGCCCCAGGTGCACGCCTACATCATCAGCTACCTGAAGAAGGAAATGCCGAGCATGTTTGGGAAGGAGAACAAGAAGCGCGAGCTCATCAGCCGGCTGCCGGAAATCTACGTCCAGCTGCAGCGCGAGTACCACATCTCCGCAGGTGACTTCCCCGAGGTCAAGACCATGCAGGTACTGGGAGCCCAGCGGGCACTGGCCTGGGGCGTGGGTAGGAACCGCAGCCCTAGCCAAGAGGAGGATGAGTGCCCCTCTCCATGACCCCTAGGAGGGCTTGTGGGATGGGGCCGGGGGAGGTTCCCCCAGGGCAGGGTCCCCCTCTCCAGCACGTTCATGCACACAGTGGCCATGTCTGGGTCAGGGCATGGTGCTGGCTCTGAGATGAGTTTATGATGGTCTGCACATTCCTCGGGTCACACTAGCTGTGCCCCCAATGCCAACTCTGACATGGAGGGGGGAGTTTGTTAGTTTTTATTTTTTTTGGGGGGGCCACACCTGATACCTGATGATGCTCAGGGGTTGCTCCTGGCTCTGCACTCAGGAATCACTCCTTAGTGGTACTTGGGGGACCATAGGAGGTGCTGGGGATCATACCTGGGTCAACCACATGCAAGGTAAATGCCTTACCTGCTATACTATCACTCCGGCCTCTAATGTTCTAGTTTCTTATCTTTTCTTTTTCTTTTTCCTTTGTTTTGCTTTGGGAGGCCATGCCTGGCGGTGCCCAGGAGACCCTGTGGTGCCAGGATCAAACCCGGGCTTCCCACATGTGAAGCGACCCTCAGCCTTTCTGTGCTGTGTCTCCGACCCCTCATTCATACCCATTTTAAGTCTGACCTCCCTGTACTCTTGTGAACCAACTGGCCAAGGCAGCTCTTAGCTGGGGCAATGAGTCAAGTCTGTTCTGAAGGCTTCTTGGCCAGGCACTGCCCGGAAAGCCGCTGGAAGGGGCCTGCATTCCCCCATCCGCATGTCCATCTGGCAGAAGGAAGGGGGCATCACCACAGAGCCTCCCTGTGCACCGGGGAGGGCGCGGCCCCCAAGCCCACAACAGCAGGGGGGCAGCAAAAAGGCCCATGTGCGCAGCCCCTCTCAAGCCTGGAAACCATCTGGGAGTGAGCAGGCAAGGGAGAACACTTGGAGACGGGATGGGAGGGAGAAGCAGATTCAGGACCTGGGCCTGGGGGCTGGATGGACTCAGTTGTGATAGGACTCTTCTTCTTACCCAGTGTGGCTCCATCGCCGCAAAACACTGCTGGGGAACAGAGCAATGGCCCTGTGGGCAGGGCTCTTGCCTTGCACACTGCCAACCGGGTCCTGGCACCTCCTATAGCCCCCTGAGCACAGAGCCAGGAGTGATCCCTGAAACTCCTAAGGATGTGGCACAAACAAACAAACAAACAAATCCATGCTGTGTGGGGGTGGGGCAGTGACAAGGAAGACCGAGACTCCCCATGGCTCTCCTGAAAATCAGGAGGCCACAGTTCCAGCACAAGATGCTTGCTTTGGAGACACTCTCGGGAGAGCAGAGCTGGAGGTGGTTCGCCTCGAACCCCAGCCCCCTGGTCAGACTTGAGGGTGGTGGACACCCCAGGATGTGACCCACAGGGCTGCTTCCTTTTTCTTGTTTTGTTTTGTTGTTTTGTTTTGTTTGGGGGGCCATACCTGACGCTGCTCAGAAGTTACTCCTGACTCTGCCCTCACGGGTCACTCTGGTAGGTTTGGGGGGCGCTTTGGGGTGTTGGGAATTGAACCCGGGTCAGCCGCATGCAAAGCAAGTGCCCCATCCACTGTACTACCCCTCCAGCCCCTGGCAGGGCTGATTTTCTCCCTTAAGAGCTGCAGCTGCTGCTTTCTCCCCACCCCTGCAAAGTTGGGGCTCTGCCCCTGCCAGCTTCAGAGGGCTGCAGAGGAATCCAGTCCCGGGGTGGGTGGAACATCTGGGCGGCCGCGGCCTCCTTCTCACTGGACACAAGGGGCTCTGTGTGCCGAGCGCTTGGGCTCATTCAGAGGACACTGGGGAGGAGCCCAGCCGTGTTGATTTGTGCATGATTTCTGTGTCGACGCTGCTCTCCGGCCTCAGCTGGCCCGCTCAGTCCCCTGGGCTGACCGTGGGGTGGGCAGCAGGAGCCCTGTGCTGGCCACCCTCTGGGGCACCAAAGGAGGCTGGCCCACAGGCATCCTGGTTGGTCACACACAAGAAGGCGGGACTTGCAGAGTGAAAGGTGCTCAAGAAGCTGCCACCAGCCCAGCAACACCGGGGCACAAGAAGCAGAGCCTTCTGACCAGTGGCCAGTGTCCCCTCCACCAGCTAACAGGCTCCGTCTCTAAAGAGCAAGCAGAGAAGGCCCTGCGGCACATCCCTGAGTCCAGTGAGGCTTCCCTGGGCGAAACAAGCTGGCCCCCAGCTCCGTGGACCGGCACGGGAAAAATGGCCCAGTCTTCAGGGCACATGACTGTTGGCAGGGCCGGAGGGCTGGAGAGACACTCAGTGGACTGAACCTAGGCCTTGCATATGGGAGACCAAGATTCCATCCCCAGCACCACATGGTCCCCCAAACACTGCTGGGAGTGACCCCTGAGCACAGTACCCTGAAACACTGCTGAGTATGACCACCCTAAACAAAAACCCATTTAAAGAAAGGAGAGAGAGAACAAGGTTGTATAAAAATTAATAGTATAGAAAAATGACATGCAGTAGTTTTCATTGTTTGGTGGCATGTCCAGTGGTGCTCAGAGGGTCACACCTGGGGCCGCTAAGGGGCCCACAGTCATCTGACTCAGGCCCACCCCCCATCCAACCCCCCCCCCCCACGGAATGTTCTTTTTTTTTGCTTTTTTGCTTTTTGGATCACACCTGGCAATGCTCAGGGGTTACTCCTGGCTCTGCTCTCAGGAGTTACTCCTGGCGGTGCTCAGGGGACCATATGGGATGCTGAGAATCGAACCCGGGTTGGCCACGTGCAAGATAAATGCCCTACCCGCTGTGCTATCACTTCAGCCCCCACACGGAATGTTCTTGAGCCACATCCCCAACACTGGAAAGGAAATGTGGATAGATGGGTAAAGGGTGGGTCAGGAGAATCAAGGAGACAGCTCAAAGGACTGGAATTCTTATTTTGTATGTGGGAGCCCAGATTCAATCCCCAGCACTGTGTATCCCCCCCACACACACACACACACATACACACATACACACATACACACATACACACACAACAACAACAATAACAACAGAAAGGATGGTCGGATGGATGACAGGTAGGTGAGTGCATGGATGATGCTGGACAGTGAATAGGTGGGTGGGTGGGTGGGTAGATGGGCAAACAGATGAATAGACAAGTGCCAGAAGGGATGAGCAGTTTCTCCGGGGCACCCACGGACCCCCTGCAGCACCTCGGTAGCTCTTCTTGGCCAGTTTCAATGTCTCCTAGGGAACCCCCAGAGCTGGGTTCTGTTGCTCACCCACCAACAGGCCTGGAGCTGAGGCTTCCCCAGCCTGGTGAGTGGCCCAGTCCTGCAGCCCCAGTGAGAGTCCCCTCCCCACTTACTCAGACCCTGGCCCAGCGTTCCTCAGCCTTTCCCCTCTATGACCTTTTTCTGACCTTGTTTCTTACTGTGGTTCTCCCCACCCCCCATCCTACCAGTTTTCCCCCTGCTCTCTTGTGTAGCCCCTATTTACATGATTTTCACCTGTGGCCCCCTTGACTATCCTGGGGGCCCATGGAGGGGCTCGTGGCAATCACTGTCCTAAATTACAATTTCTGTTTTTGTTTTAGGGGTCACCTGGCTGTGCGCAGGGCTTCCTCTGGGCTCTGCACTCACTCCTGGTGGGCTCGGGAAGCCTTATATGGGATGCCAGGGATCTAATCTGAGTCCACCAAGCACAAGGCAAACACCCTACCTGCTGTACTATTGCTCTGACCCCTGTAACTAGAATATTTAGCTGATTAAAAAAAAAAATTTAGCTAGGGCCAGAGCGATGGCACAGTGGGCAGGGTGCTTGCAATACATGTGGTTGACCTGTGTTCAATCCTCGGCATCCCGTATGGTCCCCTGAGTACTGCCAAGAGTGATCCCTGAACACAGAGCCAGGAGTCGGCCATGAGCACCACCACATATGGCCCCAAGCCCCCTAGCGCCCCCCAAAAAGCAGCTTTCTTCAGTATTAAGCAAGACAGTGGCTTAATGCCCCCCCCCACCCCCGTCCTGGTCCCCTGCCGAGACACGTGTGTCCTCCTGCAGGAGCAGCTGGAGAACTACGACTTCACCAAATTCCACTCGCTGAAGCCCAAGCTCATCGAGGCCGTGGACCACATGCTGACCAACAAGATCTCGTCCCTCATGAACCTCATCAGCCAGGAGGAGACCAACATGCCCACGCAGCTGGTGCAGGGCGGCGCCTTCGACGGCACAGCTGAGGGCCCCTTCAACCAGGGCTATGGCGAGGGCGCCAAGGAGGGCGCCGACGAGGAGGAGTGGGTGGTGGCCAAGGACAAGCCGGTCTACGACGAGCTCTTCTACACCCTGTCCCCGGTCAACGGCAAGATCTCGGGAGTCAATGCCAAGAAGGAAATGGTCACCTCCAAGCTGCCCAACAGCGTGCTGGGCAAGATCTGGAAGCTGGCCGACTGCGACGCCGACGGCATGCTCGACGAGGAGGAGTTCGCGCTAGCCAAGCACCTCATCAAGATCAAGCTGGACGGCTATGAGCTGCCCAACAGCCTGCCCCCGCACCTCGTGCCCCCCTCCCACAGGAAGTCCCTGCCCAAGGCCGACTGAGGGGCACGGGTGGCGGCGTGGGTGGGACTGGGTGTGGGGGGACCTGGGTCCCGAGGCCGCTCTGCCACGGATTCTGCCCTGAACGACCTCGGGCCAGGCGCTGCTGCTCTGTGCCTCAGTTTCCCCGTTCACAGAATGGAGAGGGCAGACACCGAACACTAGACACAGGGTCCTCTCACCCCTACAGTTCCCTGAGTTTCCATTCAAATCTCGTGTGGAGAGAGGGGTGAAGAAGATGGAAGGACTGAGAAGAAAGGGCAGTTGTCCAAAGAGAAGCTGGAGAGACAGAGGGGGCGTCTTGGAGGCTAAGGAGATGCTGGGGTGCTGGGGGCCACAGTCCGCCTGCCTGTAGCCCCGTCTGTCCCCCAGAGACATGGGAAGGAGCAGAGGTGATCTCCACTTCCTGCCAGCTTCACGTGGAGGGGGACAGAGGGAGGGGGTTTCTGTTCTCTCCTAGCTGTCTGCCAAAGAGAAGACTCCGGCACCTGCAGGTGTGAAAGGAACCTCCATCCGGTTCGTGCACACCCACCCCCGGCTCTGTCCCCCTCCCACTCACACCCCCCCCAGCTCGCCAGCAGAGCAGCCTCTGAGCAGGTTTTGGAGCCCTCACCTGCATCATATTGCCCTTGGGAAGATGCTGCATCATATTGCCATGGAGATTCTGCGTTCCACCCAGCTCTGGCAGTCCTGCGCAATGTCTGCACACTGGAGTCTGTTTCTATTACTGAACCACACCAGGGGAGCGGGGATGCCCCCACACTCGCGGTCTCCGTGGCTAGCAGCAGTGTGTCTGGATACAGGAGTGTCCCCTTGCCTGGGGACACAGGAGCAAATTCTGCCCAGGGCTGTCAGGGAGAAGAAATAAGTCTACTCACCTAAACACTGGTTTTTGATTTGTTTGGCTTTTTTTTTTCCTTTGCGTGGGGTGGGGGGGAGGAGGTGGGGGTGGGGGAGGGCAGGTGGTTTTTGTTTTGCCCACTGTCATTTCCTTACAGACCGAGACCCTTTACTCAGAAACAGGGTGGAGCCTGAGATCAGAAGCCTTTCTTTCAAAAACTCTGGTGCCCACCGTGGACGAGAACCATGCAGGCACGCGTGAACTCTGGCTTTAGACTATTCCCGCCCTCGTGCCCCCTGCAGGCCTGTGTCAGCGGTGGCTCACCAACACCCATGTGCCTCGGGGGTGCCATCGTGTGGCACAGGTGCCTTCTCTGTCCTCTCCTCATTGACACAAATGCGACCCGGGCCCCCTCCAAGCCTTACACAAACCCACACTTTTGTCCTGGGGCAGCAACAAGGGGAAAAACTCGGAGAACATTCTTCAGCCACGTACCCACTTCACAGTCCTGCGCTTTCTCAATAATCGAGCTTTAAAAGAATAAATGCATACTATGGGATTTTTTTTAATCTTCATGAGCAATTTTGAATTCATTAGATGCATAGAAAAAGATGTGTATGATTGCAGCTCTGTAACGAGCAGATGGCTGTGCCCCGTGGTGCCTGCATGACAGTGAACGTGAGAGAGAAGAGATGGTCAGCTACGGCTGAGACACATCAGGCCAGCTGATTTCCCATTAGAGTTATTGCAGCTTTTAATTCATCAGTTACTATATCACTGTATCACTGTCATCCCATTGTTCATTGATTTACTTGAGCCAGTAACGTCTCCATTCATCCCAGCCCTGAGATTTTGGCAGCCTCTCCTTACCATATAGAAACCATATAGTTACATATAGAAAGATTAAACCCAGGCTGGAGCGATCGCACAGCGGGTAGGGCGTTTGCCTTGCACGCAGCCAACCTGGATTTGATTTCCAGCATTTCATGTGGTCCTCCAAGTACCTCCAGGAGTGATTCCTGAGTGCAGAGCCAGGAGTAACCCCTGAGCATCACCGGGTGTGACTGAAAAAAGCAAAAAAAAGATTAAACACAGACAAATACACATGTGACAGGTGTGTGTGTTCTCTGACACGTGCTTCTGTGTGCAGATGATGACCTGGTCAGGTTTTGTCTGTTCAGGACCTGGAGGAATTTTTAGAGGAGCAGCATGTTGGGGGGTTCTGGTTTGCAGAAATGTCTTAAGCACTGGCCTCACCCCACCCCTGGGGAGCCGCTGGCAGCCAAAATCCTCACCCCACTGGGCCCCAGTGATATTTCCTGGGAAGGAAAAGGAAACCTCATGTCCATTTTTCTTCATATCTTTCTCTCATGACATGAAGTCATTTGCCGTGAAAAGTTGGGAAGAAAAGGCCCGGAGCACAGCTGGCATGGGGGCTGCTGAGGACGCAGAGCTTCCAGGGCCCATCTAGAGTCTAGACCTGGGGCCAAAGCACCTGTTCCTGCCCCCTCCACCCCGCAGCCTGTGGTGGAAGATCGCAGCTCTCCTGCATCCGTTCAGCCTGGCCATGTCGCTTTTCCCACACCACCCCGACATTCAATGCACCCTTCCCAGATGGGCAGGGGCTTAGGGTGCTAGCAGGTCAAGATGAATCAGGAAACTCCCTTAGCAATCACAGTTCTGAGGCTCGAGATGATTTTCTTCACAACACATGGCTCTCTGTAGTGTCAGCTTCTGCAGTTGAACTGGGAGAGGGAATGAAAATTTCTGCTCCTCCAAAGTCAGCTTCTGTTGGGTGCCCTGCTGAAGAGGACCCCAGGTCCTGCCGGGACTCCCCACTCTGCAGGCGCCAGACCCCCTGCTCAGCCCCGCAGTGTGCGTGGGTTCTTGTGGCACTGTGTCCCAGGGGCCGGCCCACTCCCAGCGGGCAGAGCTGCACATTCCACACTGGTGTCTGTGCAGCAATGTCATCTGGGCTCTGGACCCTCCCCCAGGAGGAATTGTGTCCCAGAACTGGGGGTCTGGGCGAGGCAGTGAGCGGCTGCCCTGGGGCGGGGGAAGTGAACAGCCACCACCTGGACCTTTCTCTCTGCAGTATACCATCTTCTTTATCCCCAGAGAAAGGAACAGCCCAGACTAACTGAATCCGAGAAAGAATAACATGAACAGAGACATTTTTACTTCCTCTGTGGGATGGGGCAGAAGAATGACATTCTTGGGGGCGGGGAGGGGGCGGAGGAACCTGAGTCTGTTCAGCTGAATGCAAGCCTTGTTTCAGAGTTTACCAAAGTCCCTGTCAGGGAGACAGCTTGAAGGGCTGGAGCATGTGCTTGGCATGTGGAAGCCCTGGGTTGCATCCCTGGCACTCCATAGGTCACATGGAGCACTGTGCTGGGAATAGCCCCAAGCACCCCTGAGTGTGGTCTCCAAACAAAAAGAAACTTTAAAGAAAAAAGTGTATCAAGTTACATACAATGTATCAAGCTTGATACATTAGTGTATCAAGCTAGCCAATGCAGTTAATACACCATGCTTCTATTTTTTTGTAATCTTGTTTAGCAGTGTCAAACGTCATCTGCTGATCAATAATAAACTATCAGGGGAAATCAGCCCCTTTCTCCCACTGAGTCTGGTTTTCGAGTGACTGCCTGCTCATTGTCTTGAAAGGACAGCGGGTCCTGCACCTTAGATGGGTGCGACCAGTCTGTATGCTGTCCCTGTGATCCCCGATTCTTCCTATGTCCTCCGGGGTGGAAGAGGCCTAAACACGGGTTTCCGGGTTTAGCTCTCTGGGCTGCGGGCCCAGGCAGGTCAGGAAGTAACCCCCAGGGTATGCTCAAGCCTCAACCCAGACAGAAAGTGGGAGGACTACAACCGCCAGGGTGGGCAGAAGGGCGAACAGAGCATCAGGGAGCTGCCTCAACTCTTACAACTCACATTCTCACAGGGGGAGTAGGGTCGTGCCACTCAGCATCCCGTCGGGGGAGGCCTCATCTTCTCTGGCCTCTCAAGCAGGCAAGGACACAGCTGTCAGCTGGTCACCCTCCCATCAGCTCATGACGAGTGACCACAGAAGCAAGGTGGGCACCGTCTGCCTTTGGTCCTGGCCAGGGTGCCCAGGACCAGCCAGGGCAGCCTTGGGCTGGCTGGAGTCCCAGGAGGTGGCTGGTGCTGAGGCTCCTGGGCTGGCGAGGCAGGGGCCGCCTGGGAGCAGAAGCAGCAGCGGCTGCGGGAGGGATGAAGCTGCAAAAGGTGGCTTGAGAAGTAGATGGTTTCACCACCGCCTGTGCCAAGCACCAGGTCTGCCCAAGTCGGGAGCCCAGGCTATACTGCCCTGCCACCAGAGGGCGTGCTCCTCAAGGGGCCTGAAGCTAGGGGGCAGGGAGGGAATTGGCTATAAAATGGCCAATCCACTCAGCCCCACATCTCTGCACTGCAGGAGGACGTACATGAAGTTCAGAGCGTTGCAGCGGCACCAGGAATTTGAGGGGGCTCCTGGATGCCCTGGACTCCTGGGAAGAAAGTGGCTGAGCCACCCCCCAGCACACACAGGGCAGCCTCTGCCCTCTCTCAGGGTGTGGCCTTGGGGCTGGGAGGTTGAGTGGAGGGGTGGTGTACCCCGTATCTGGGAGCACAGAGTAGAGTTCTTCCCCACCCTGTGCAGGCCATCCAAGCACAGTGGGCCCGGGTCCCACAGAGGAATGAGCGGAGGGGAGGGAGAAGCAGGTCAGGGAGCACCTACCTGGCAGGTGTTTCGTGGCTTACAAAGCACCTCCCTGGGCCGGAGAGCTAGTACAGTGGGTATGGTGTTTGCCTTCACCCGCACCCCAGATGGTCCCCCAAACCCCCCAGGAGTGATCCCTGAGTGCAGAGCCAGGAGTAAGCCCCAAGCACCTCCGGGTATGGCCCAAACTCTTTTAGTCTCCAAAAAAACAATTATCTCAGAAGCTCTCAAGCCTGCCTGTCACCCCGATCAAGCCTTCGCAGAGAGGGACCTGTTTTCCAGCTTTTGGGGCTCCCTGCAGCATCTCCTGCTCAGGGGGCCCCTGTGGCCTGTACTCAGAAGCTTATGCCCACATTGCCCCCACTGCCTTTGGAGGCCTCCACCACATTCGGTGGGTCTTCTCTGCAGGAGGGGAGAGGGCTGGGGAGAGGCCAGGTTGGGCCCAAGAGAACGTTGGGGACAGAAATGCTGCAGTGATGACCTGAGCCGCCAGAGGGCAGCATGGGGACCAGCTCCGCAGCTTGTTGGGTTAGAAGTGGGCAGTGCAAGTCAGGGACCCGGAGACACAGGGCGCCGGGCAGGCTGGGAATAGGTGGGACAGGACAAGTGAGAGGGCTGTGGGTGCTGCTGAGAAGCCTTTGGGGCCTCTGGTCCACGGCCGTTGTGCCCAGTTTGCAGAACCAGCTCAACAATACCAGATGGACTCATGTGTTCCCCCCAGGGAATGAGAAGCCTGGGAGCTCTGGGTAAGGATTTGGGGTGCATGGTAGGGACAGAGTCCTCTGCAGTAAGGCCGGGGTGACCCTCATGTACCAATCAGGCTTCTTAACGACTCTCCACTTGCAACCCCCATCACCCAAGAAATGTTTATGTGACACCTAGTATCTAGGTACAAAAGAAGGCTCAGAAATCAAACACTGGGGTCAGAGCCATAGTCCAGTGGGCAGGGCGTTTGCCTTGCACACGGCCAACCTGGGTTCGATCCTCAGCATCCCATATAGTCCCCCAAGCACCACCAGTAGTTCCTGAGTGCAGAGCCAGGAGTAACTCCTGAGCATCACTGGGTATAACCCAAAAAGCAAAAAGAAAACAGAAAATAAAAGAAATCAAACACTGATAACAAATCAGAAATTTACTTTTTTGCAGTACCACCCTATTCAGTTACATGACCCTAGAGCGGGTGGGTGATCCACAGTTCTAAGACGTGGAAGCCTTCAGGAGGAGTCTAATGCAGCCTGTCTCCAGGAAGCCAAGGAGAAACTGAGGCACCTAGAGGGGGTCCTGCAGTGTGTGGGGAGAGGGGTGGGCAGGATACTTGCTCCACTCCTGACCATCTCCCCGGGCCCCACAGGAAGGAGCCTGCTGGGGGCAGTTGCCGGGGCAGCTGGGTGAGGACCACCTGCCTCCTTCCTTTGCTCCCAGCCCACAGCCTGAGCTGGCGCTGGGGACCAGCCCTCCAGGTCACCTGCTGAGCAAGCGCCTGGCACAGCCTCTCTGCTCAGGCACTCATGGGGGATCAGAGCGGGTGGCATCCTGTGTCTCTCGGTCCTGAAGGCGCAGCCCAGCCTCACCCTGATGGTGCAAACCCCAGCAGGCCTGGCCCGTGAGGCCCCCTTCCCACTCCTCCCAGGCTGGTCACCAGCATGGCCCCCAGCCCTCCTCACTGGGCTCACGTGCAGGGACAGCTGCCCACAGTTGCCGGGCCTGCTAGGACAGCCCAAATGCCCTGCGCTGAGAGCCCAACCCCACTGTACCCGCACCCCTCAACCGTCTCCTCCTCCATCCTCTCCTGCTCCTCACAGGCCTTCCTGCCCGCAAGGGCCCAGGGTGAGGGCCAGCAGACGCATTCCAGTGCAGTCAGACAGACTCAGAGCCACAGGCCGGAGGCGCCGACGCCAGGACTGTCTCCTCCCACTGGGCAGCAGTGCCCCCAGGCTCCACTGTGTGATTCAGAGCCCAGCTGAGGAGAGGGGACAAGAGTGAGGCTGGCCCGGTGCCAGCCCCCTCCCTCCCCCAGTTCCTGAGGTGGCCAAGTCACAAGAACCCATCACCCCCACACCCCGAGCCTCCTGAGGCCAAGACCATGGCCATGGAGGAGGGCTGACGCACCCAGGGGAGCCAGTCAACTGGCAAGGGGAAGATTCTGGAGCAGCTAAATTCACTCCACCCACCTCTGCTCTTCCATCGGGTCCGGGGCAAACCTTGGGAGTCTAAGTGAGGACACACTCCAGGGCACCCTCAGCAGCGCTGTCCAGGACAGACACGCCCTGGCTTGTCCAATCCCGCTTCCTGTGTGAGTGTGTACATGTGTGTGACAGGAAGCCCCCTACCCCAGTCTTGCCCAATCCCGCTTCCTGTGGTGTGTGTGTGTGTGTGTGTGTGTGTGTGTGTGTGTGTAAGCAGACCCCAGCCCCAGTTCTGGGCCACCCCCATTCAGTGCAGAGGCCTCTGTGATGTCTGTAGTAGAGGCTGGGAGCAGCAGCCTCCCTCTCTCGAGGGGGGACCCCCTCTGCCAGCTCATCCAGCCTGGTAACAGCCAGTCTGCCACGAGGCCGGTGGGAGGGGCTCTGTAATACACCGGGAAATGCTCTGCTTCACCCCCGCTTCTGGGGCGTCTATGGGGGCCTCCAGCGCCCCAGGCTGAGTCTTTGCTCTGCCAGGAAGCCCTGCGTGGGCCGGACTGGGACACGCCCGCTGCTGGAGCCCGGGGCTCTGGGGCGCCCGCCGCTCCTGTCCCCATTCCACCCGGGCTGCGTGGACGGGGTTTGAGCAGAGTCGGGGGTGCTGGGGGGGCCCGGACGCTCCCTCCCTCACTCTGGCCGCCGCCCCCGCAGCCTCCGCCGCAGCACAGCCTCGCGCAGCGCCTCCAGCAGCCGCTCGCTGTTGTTGCAGATGTTGTAGCGCGACAGGCGGAGCAGCTTGTCTGAGTCCTCTGGGCTGTAGGTCACCTTCGAGTAGTGGTAAGGGGAGCCTTTGGGGGACAGGTCCACCTCCCCGGCCGCCTGCTCCTCTGGCGTGCGCCGGATGCCTGCAGTGGTGGGGGGGAGGGGGGCAAAGTTGGGAGGGGAGCAAGGTGGGAGCCCCCAAAACGCCCCCGCAGGGATCAGGAAGCCAGCAGGAACAGGCTGGGGGCCATGAACTCACCCGGAGCTGAGAATTCCCGGAAGGAGTCGTTGACCAGAGGGAAGTGAAGCACGGCGGGGGATTCGGGGCGATCCAGGTCCAGGAACAGGTGGCACTCCCGGGGTTGCTGCAGTTCATGGGCTTCCGGCTCCACGGGTGGGAAGGGGATGCCCTGCTCCTTGCAGAATCGGCCTACGAGCTGCAGTTGCTGCAAGGCAGGACCAAGAGGCGTCAGTGGGCACTGAGCCAGGAGCTAGGACCAGGCCGCGAGAAGCTGCTCTGAGGGTCCCTGAGAGGATCCCTTTTAACGGAGGTCCCATTCTAATGCAGATGAAAATGGCACAAGCATTTACTATCAGCATTGTGCCGGAGAGACAGGGCAGCTTGCTTTGTACTTGGCCAAGCCCAGTTTGATGCCAGGAGCGATCCCTGAGCTCAGAGCAAGGAGTATGAGGCCAGCCCAACAGCCCCCATCCCAACACAAACATCAAGTCAGCACCAGTTCCCTCAGCTCCAGCTCCCCTGGGGGAGGCTGGACCCCCTTCCCTGGGCTCCCCCAGCCCTAGCTCCTGCCCACCTGGAAGGCGCCTTGGAGATTGTAGTCCAGGGACACAATGAGGTCCACATCCCGCATGGGCTGCAGCAACGGGGGACAGCTGGTGTTGATGAGGTAGCCCACGTCCAGTAGGCAGAGGTGGGGTTCCGTGGGGGTCAGCTCATTGGGGAGCCCATCCAGTTTGGTGGCTGGGGAGGTGGTGGGGGCAAAGGGGTGGCTGTCACCAGGGCAGAGGCAACCAAGCCCACAGAACTAGGCGTGTGCTGCATCACATGGGCGTGGGGGGGGCGGGGGGGCATTGGACCTCCAGCCAGAGGCCATGTCCCTTTCCTGTAAATCCTGCAGATGGGCCCTGCCCTCCCTCCGCCCCCCCCCCACACACATGCGAGGAAAGAGAGCTCCCCCTCCAGGCAGTGCAGGGAACTGAGCTCAGTGGGGCTGGAGTCCTGGACGCAGCCTGGGATGACCCTGGAAAGCTGGGAGCTGAGGGGTAAGCAGGCACCTCTCCAAGCAGAGAAGTATGGGTGCTCGAAATAGTCCCTGTCGAAATGAAGGCCACGGAGGAAGTTGTGGGAGGCCTGGGCAAGCGGGCGCCGCGTCAGCAGGTCGGTGAAGAACTCGGCGATCCTGCCGGCCACCGTTGGCGTCTCCTCTATCTTCAGGAGAGGGACCCGCTCCTTCTCTGTAGTCGGGGCGCATGAGAGGGGTTGGGGTGTCTTTCAGGACACGGTGAGCCCCGAGGCCTCTATCCCAGCCCTCGTGGACCCTTCAGGCCCGCACCTACCGAGGGTGGCCTGGTCCTGCGCCCAGCGCTCCCAGAACTGCCCGGGGTCTGAGGCCCAGTACATGCTGTCCAGGAGGTTGGCTGCGTACAGGTTGCTCCAGATCCCTGGGGGGGGGGGGGGGACACAGGGGCCATCATGAGAGTGGAAGGAGAAGACCCACCACCCTGCTGAGGCCCCTCCTCTGGTCTCCAGCCCCCTCACCTTCCAGGAAGCAGATGCGAGACTCAGGGAGCTTCTTCGTCAGGCGCCCCATGAAGAACTCGGAGCCGAAGAGCTCGGAGGGGATGAAGGCCCCGTACTTGGGGAAGCCAATCTCATAGGGGGAGAACTCGGCCCACTCTATGGGGACCACAGCTCACCTGAGCCCCCACGCACCCCCGGGGCTTCCCCTCAGCACCCCAAGCCCGACTGAGGCTGGCACTAGCCCTGCAGACTGACTCCAGGAGGATGACAGCCGGAAGCAGGGCCTGCCCGCCCCCCAGCACCCAGCCCACCCGAAAGCACGCCTTGCTCACCCCCGAATTCAAAGGTGCTCAGGCCCTGCCCCTTGGTGTTGAGGGCACAGTAGATGGGCAGAGGGTTCTGACCACGACTCAGGGCCTGCCGCTGCTCCGACAGTCTGTGCTCATGGGGCTGAAGAGGAAAGTGGTCTGAACACCCCAGGGCATGACCCCTGCCACACTGCACCTCCCCCCAGTGCCCCCGCCCGCACCTCATCGTGCAGCAGCGCCTCGTTGATGAGCGCCCAGAGGTTGGTGAAGCAGGGGGGATGGCCCAGGCGGGTGCGCTCGGCCAGTTCCTGCTGGTACTGCCACAGCCGGCCTGGCGCCAGCACGCCCAGCTTGCTCTTGGTCACCTGAGTCTTCAGCAGCTCGGTGGGACCAGTCAGGTCCTTCTGAGACCACTCTGGGTCCTCATAGAGGTTGGCCAGGGCCCTAGGACAAGTCAAAGGTCAGGGTGTCACTCGAGAAACTCATCACCCACCCTGGGCTTGCTTGACTATTTGTTTGGTTTTGTTTTGTTTTGGGGTCACACCTGGTGGTGCTCAGGACTTACTCCTGGCTCTGCACTCAGGAATCACTCCTGGTAGGCTTGGGGAGCCATACAGGGTGCTGGCGATCAAACCTAGAGTGCAGGTTGACCACATAAAAGGCAAACACTCCTCTACATGCGATTCATATTCTCTCTCTCTCTCTCTCTCTCTCTCTCTCTCTCTAGGGTTCACTCATGACTACGGTTGGGCACCATTTGTGGTGCCAGCCACAGATGGTAAGGCAAGTGCCCTAGCTGCTGTACCATGTCACTGATCCCTGCCCTGGGCTTTCTGGGCAAGGACAACAGGCTGGTACAGGCCCTTCACAGATACGGGCCTCCTCCCAATTCCTCCAGTTGCTCAGGGAGGCCCAGAGGGTCCATGAGCCACCCTTGCACCTCTGCTCTGACCTCAGCCAACCCCTGCACTTACCAGGTGGAGCCCGAAGCCCCTGTGATGTAGGAGACACAGTCCAGGAGGCCCAGCTCCTGCAGGCCGGCCAGCTGTCCGTACAGGGAGGTCATCGCCCGGATGCCACCTCCTGTGGCCATCACTGCGATCACTGGGACCTGAAGAGTGCATCCGAGTGGGAGGAGGCCACATAGACCCCCCCAATGCCCCCCAGCATTGGATGGCCAAGTTCTGAGCAGGGCTCAGGGAACACTCTGGCCAGGGCCTCCTGAGGAAGATCGAGAAGAGCCAGACCTAGGACTGTCCATTGCCATGATTTGAGGAAGTGCCAAAAAAACGAAGGAGAAATGCTGTAGGCCACCTCTCTCTCCTGGAAGCTCCAGAGCCACCTCAGAGTCTCTCCACCTGCAACTACCACCCCACTCTGCTGACCAGGGCAGCGTGACTGATCAGTGAGACCAGGCCTTCGGACGGTCAGGAGCCAAGAGAATGCTGGCTGGCTGCCCAGTGGTCACCCCTCAGCCATCCCTGTCCCTGACGCACTGATGCAGAGACGGTCATGTGAGAGGAGGGCAGGGCAGTCCAGCCTAGCAAATGGCTCTGGTGTGGTCGGGCCCAGAGCCTCCAACCGGAGCGCCCCCTCAGCCCCCCAGGACCCCCACCCAGCGCGGGGCAGCCTCGGACCTCGTCCTCCCTCAGGTCTCCATCCAGCTGCAGGGCCTGCTTCAGAGCTCGCGCCACCACCTGCTTCCTCCTGCTCAGGAAGGCCTGCTCCTCGGCACAGGGTCCACAGCCCAGCCGCACGGCCAGCTCTGGGGGGCTGCAGGAGGAGGGGTGACGTAGGGGCTGGGAAGCCCACCTCACCTCTCCCCACCTTTGTCCCCTCCCCACATCCTAATGCTACAGGGTGGAATGTGGGGGGAGAGGTGAGTGAAGCAGGCCCGTTGTGGGGTGCACTCAGGGACACAGAAGTCTCGGGGCTCAGGGGAGGCCCCCGGGACACAGAGAAGCTCAGGGCTGGGCCGTCACACCACTGACACCTTCATCTTGCCGCTTCCATCTCTCAGTCTCAAACCCACTCCGGAGAAAACACGCCCCCCCCCCCCCCCGGGGGAAGAAGCCAGTCTCCAGAACATACAGGACACATGGAAGGGGCAGGGTACTTCCCCTGCCCTCAAAGCAGCTAGGTGCCCCTCTCCTGTCTGGCTCTCTTGTCCTCTGTGTGCCTCAAACCATGCCACAATCCTCACCCGATACCCACTTTCCCAGTCAACGTTTCCCCAGAACCTCTGGGTGCCAGGCTCGGAGCCTGAAGCAGACCCTCGGCTGAAGTAGAGAGGCAGCAGGGAGTGAAGGCCCAAAGCCAGTGTCGGTGCCCCCAGACCTCCCTGCTGGGCCTGCGAGTCTTGGGGACTCCTCCTCCCCAGATTACTCCCACAGGCCGTTCCCCCACCTGCCCGCCTGGTCACTCCACTCACCCTTCTTCCTTCTTCAGCTCCACCCTCATGAGGGGTTCCTGGAAAATGCTCCGGTCACAAGGGCCAAGCCCCTGTTCTCTTCCTGCCTGAGCCACCACCCTCCAGGACGTCCCCAAGTTCCTGAGGGCGCCCTGACCCCCATCTCCACCAGAGGCTGGCCTGGGGCTGTCAGGGATGCTCAGAGGACCCCTCTCCCTGAGCCCTGCCTGCCTAGCAGCAGCCCTGGGTATGCCAGCCCTCTGGAGAGCTGCTGGAAAAGCCGGGCAGTCCAAGTTCCAGTCCTGGCCCCGCCTCCCAGTGTCTGGCCCCGCCTCCAGCTAACAGGCCCCGCCCCAGTACCAGGTCCCACCTCCCAGCTACAGGCTCCACCCCACCCTGTGCCTGGCCCCGCCCCCGAATAGCTGGTCCTGCCTACCCAATGCATGAACCCTCTCCACCCAGTGCAAATCAGGGCCTCACACAGCACCTGGTCCTCCCCAGCCGCCCCCCACCTCCCCAACCCCCCCACTTGGCGCCCTTCCTTCCTCTGGCAACTGGTACCTGGGATGTAGGAAAGACGAGTCTCACCACCTGTCCATTGGGCAGGGAGTTCAGGGGCACCTTTAATCGCTCTTGGGGGGCATCCTGTGGGGAGGAGAAAAGGAGCCCTCAGAAGCCTGCCCTTCCATTCCCAGCACCGCCCCTGGGCAAGCATCAGGAAGGAGGAGACTGGTGCCAACCCGATACCCTTCCTAGAGTATCAACACTGGCGGGGAGAGCTGGGGCTGTAGACAATGAGCAGAAGGTCAGGCTGGAGGAGGAGCCGAGAGAGAAGGGCCTGGGGTCCCCTCACACACAGAAGGCACAGCACCTTACCTGCAAGTAGATACTCAGCTCCTGCTCCCAGCAGGCAGGGAAGTGGAAGCAGAAGGAGCCAGCACCCACAGACGCCTCCTGAGGCCCCTCACAGGACCCGGGCACCGCAAGCTGGACTTTGCTCCGCGAGCCTGGGAATGGGAGTCAGAGCAGAGGGGCTGCAGCAGATCCTGTCCTGCCGGAGGGTGAGAGGTCACCTCCCACCACCCCACCATGAGCGTCTGGCCGAGGCTGGGAGATGGAGTTCCTACCACACCCCCTTCCCAATTGAACGAGCCCTAGGCACCCAATTGAACAGGTCCCCTCCAGCACCCCGTTAGACTCAGGGAGGTGAGGGATAAGGGGACTTATTCTGGGGGAGGGACTCACCCTGCCGGTCCCCCATATCCTTAAGTTGCACGTGCAGACAGGAGAGCTCCCGGGCCTGAACCACAAGAGATGTTTAGGGGCAAGCTGGCTGAGGAGACACCCCCTCCCCGAACTCCTCACCTTCCCCCCGAACCCCTCCAATATCCCTCCTCAGCACTTGAATGCCTTGGCCCAGAATCACCAGGCCCTTGACGCCCAGGGGCCCTGCTCAGTGGACTCGACCCGAGCAGCCCAGGCAGGAGGGCACGCAGCTGGGGAGACACACACTCACCACCAGGATGCCATTGCTGACGAGCTGCTCAGTACAGTCTGGCCTGGAAAGAGACCCCCGGGCTCCTGAGTGGGAATCAGGAGGGCCACAATCCCCCTCAGGCCTGGGCTTTCCTCCACCACCATGAAGTCTCCCAGGGTATACGCTTAGCCACAGAAATGCCCCAAGCCACACTCACAGGCTCCGCAGGTGAAACTCCACTTCCAGCCGCTTGCTCTGGAGATGGGAACAAGTTGCGGCGGGGCGGGGGGAAACAGGAAGAGAAAGAGAGTAAGAGAGAGTTTGACAGAGAGAGAGGACTGGGAGCATGCATGTGTGCGTGCAGATTCCAATTCTGATGCCCACTGGGGCGGTAGGGGAAGGAGCCGGCAGTGGTCTCCAGGCTGCTCTTAAACTTGCCAACAAGGTGCCTTTGGGAGGCTGGGGAAGCAGCTGGCATTGCAGCACACGCACCGTAACAAGAACAAGACCCTGGCCTCTATCTCCGGCACCGCCTGGTCCCCTGAGCCCGGCTTGGTGTGACCCTAGCAGCACTCAGCACCACTGCCAGGCCTAAGCACTGCACAGAGCCTCACTAAGAGTGGCCCCGGGTCCCCAGCATCACTGAGGTTGGTCCTATTAATAAATAAACAAGCTCTTGGCTTTTCCTTTACCACTCCGTGGCGCAGTGGTCAAGAGGGCCAGGCAGGACCCCTTTTCTGTGGACAGCAGCTCCCAGGGAGCGTGGTGATGCTGGGGCAGAGGCCCCAGCCCCCCAGAGCATCTCCCGCCGGCAGCACAGCCTTGCCTTTGAGCCCAGGGGGAAGCTGTTGTGCACAAGCTCCCCGGCCCGCAGGGTCCCCACGTCAAATAGCACGGACAGCAGGTGGTCATCACTGGTGACCAGGTCCTGGTCGAAGATTTTCAGCTGCATGATGTTCTGGAAGGAAAACAGCAGGGCTGCAGGAAGTGGGGGACAGGGAAGGAGGGCCCCGGGACGGGACAGGGCAGGGAGCGAGACCCACCCTGAGCTGGCTGTTGATCCGGAAGTGAAAGCTCTGGTTCCAGACGGGGTTTCTGCTGTTCCGCACGGTGCGGGTCTGCAGTCTCTGGCTACAGGCAGTGGGCAGCCAGAGGGTGACATAGCAGTCGGAGGGGGTCACTGTGGGCAGGACAAGCGCTTGGCGATGGCCATAAGCCTTTGCTGGCCTAGAGCCCACCACCCATGTCCCTCTGTCACAGGACATTCCAGGAGCCCCAGAAACTGGAGGAGCAGGGCCAGTGTATGCCCAGTCCCATGGCCCCATTCCTCTGAATCGAGCTGCAGAAGCGAGGCCCTTCCTGGGCTAACACTCACCAAGGTCCTTAGAGGGTAGATCATGGGCTTGCAGGACACGAACAGTGAGCAGGCAGGTCCCGGGCACCTTTGACTGCAGAGGAGGGAGAGGGCATGCTGCAGGCTGACTGTGCCCAAGGCAATGGGGGCTGAAAAGCGGGTTCCGGCAGGGCAGCTCCTTGGAGCCAATCCCCAATCTACAGGCCAGTTCTGCCCCCCAGCCCCACAGCCCTGAAGTGACAGGGAACTATGGCATCTCTGATGCCACCAGTCAGCGCCGACACAGCACTCGAGTCTGAGTTACAGTTGATCACTCAGTCACCCTCTGTGGGTGGATATTTATCCCACAAGGAAACTGAGGCACAGGGGAGTCACTTGCCCGAGGGTTGGACCCAGCCAGCCTGACTGGTGCTCTCCACCCTCACACTGCCCTGCTTCCAGCTCCCGGTTCCACCGCAGTGGGGGTGCCCAGCCCACAACCTGGCCAAGCAGCCTGGAGACAGGTCCTAGGTAGTGTACCTGTGTATGTGTACATGCAGGTATATGTGTGTCTTCATGGGTGTGTGCACATGTGTGTATGCGTATTTGTATGTGTGTGTATATGTCCCTGTGTAAAAATGCTGAGGTGCAGTGCAATGGGTACACATGTATATGTGCACTAGATATATATATTCATTTGTGCATGCCTGTGTATCTCTGTGAACATTTCTGTATATGCGTACATGACTGCACATAAACTTGTACCTATATGTGTACAGGCATTTTGTGCATGATTGTGATGTACGCACATGCGAAAACGTGTCAGTGTGTGCATGTTTGGTTGTGAATGTACACGTACATGCATATCAGGCACATGCCTATGGACGTGCATGTTTCTGTGTGTACATGCCATGTGTGTATACAAGTCTTATGTGTACATGCACGTGTGTACATGTTACCTATAGTGCAACTATACATGTGTATATGTACATATGTCTCTGTGTGTTTGTGTGTGTATATATATATAAGTATGTGTGCACATGTGATTAAGAAAATGAGGAAGAAGCATATCAGCACCTAGCCTGGCTTTGGGCCCAGATGCCCAGGAGGAGTCTCTCTTGTACCTCCACCCTCCAGAGACAATTCTGGAAATGAGTTCTCTGCTAGGGAGGGGCTCGTACAGCAGCCACCAGCGATGCCCCCACACCCACTGGTGTCAGTCCTCGGGGTGCCAGCAGGCTCCTTGCAAAGCCGGGCAGAGGCACCAGGTCAGGGCAGCTCTCGGCCTCCTCCACTGTCAATCAGGCCTCAGGGAGGGGCCTGGTGGACCAGAGTCCTCGGGGTTTCCTGGGCTAAGGACAGAGCCGGGAAGCTTGTTCCCCATATCAGCCCCTGGGGCCCCACACCCCAAGCAACTGAGTCAAAGGCTGCCACTTCCTGTGGGGCCCCAGGAGAGCAGCTGGGAGCCTCATTCTCAGGCCCCAAACCCATGGCAGCGGGGCTCTGCCTGAGCCCATCTCTGGCCAGGAAGGACTCAGACACCCTCCTCCCCCACCCCAGCACCCTGCTTCTCCTGGGCTCTGCTCTGGCCTTGGACCAGGGCCCCCTCCATTCAGGGGAAGATCCCACTTACTAATAACCTGGGTAATAACTGGGGAGCCAAACCAGTTGGGGTCCAAAGGTCTGATGGGGTCTTACCAGAGCCATGGGACTGAGGTCCTCGGGAGCCAGGGATGGCAGCAATGACCACAGGATGAGGACTGTGGCCTTTTAACCCAGAGCAGGGGTGTCCCAGCTCCTCCCAGCCACCTCCGCTCCACCTCAGCCCCACCCCTCAACACAGCCACCAACCAGGAATGACACCTAAACCCATAGGCAGGGCCCCAGAGCTGATGCCGAGCACATGCTTCCCATGTGTACAGTCCCGGGTTCGACCCCCAGCACTGCCTGCCTACTCCCCACGTCTGTCCCCACCGCCAGGAGTGGTCTGGAGCCCTGAGCACTGCCAGGTGTGACCCCTATAAAAAAGAAGAAAACCTATAGAGCCACTAACAGCCAGCTGTGGGGCACCCTACTTGCTAGGAACATTCTCTTGGTTTCCAGCCCTGCTTTCCACTCTAGGAAGTGGCAGAGCTACAGGGCTGCCCCGGGAGAGCTTGTTGTCAGAGGCAGAAGAGGACAAAAGAGAGGGGAAGGTGGGCCTGGAGGGGCCACAGAGGTCAGTGACAGAGTAGGACCCAACCCAGAGTGCGCGCGCGCGCGCACACACACACACACACACACTCATACACCTCCAGAGCTGGGGATGGGACACTTGGGGATGTCCAGGGCTGGGTGTGGAGGATGGTGACCAACTGTCCCACAGGGGCACCTCGGGAGTAGCAGGGGCTGGAGTCACCAAGGCCAGCACCAGGTACTGTGAAATGAAGGAGACCTGCAGGTCCAGGGAGCAGTGGGCACCGGCACTGTGACAGAGGACAGGCTGGACCCAGGACTCAGCCCAGCAGGGACACTGGAACATCCCCCACAGCCCCCCACAACCTTCCAGCCCCCATTAGAGCACACAAGCCAGCTGCCGAAGGGGGTGTGAGAAGGGAGGGTTACAGCACCATTTATTGAGGCCTCCTGCGCCCTCCCCACACCATCACATCCCTCTGGATGGCCACAAGCGCCTGGCACCCACCGGGGAGAGGCGGGGCTGCACACCAAGCCCCAGTCCGCCAGGACCAGCTGCTGCCACGCCCATGTAGCAACTTCCTGGGAGCCCACGCCTAGACCAGCCTGGCACCTCCGAGCCTCCAGACGCCTCCCAGAGTCCTCCAAGGCCCATCCCAGGTCGGGCAGCTGAACTGCGGATTCCAGGCCTCTTGCCGGGAGCGGCCCCACACCCCTCACCAGGCCGTCTGCTCCAGGCCCGCTGCCTTGGTGAGGGAGTCCAGCAGCTGGAAGTAGCTGTACCTGAGGTCGTACTCCATGTCATACCAGAAGTTCACTGTGGAGAGGAGAGGCCTGAGCATGAGGATCCCCATCCCCACCCCCCTGGGGGGGCCCCGGTTCCCGAGTGCTCACCGGCAATGCAGCCGTGGGACTGTTGCACGTGGTGAAACCACAGTGCCGGCAGGTAGAGCATCTCCCCGGCCCGCACGGTGCAGCGGAGGGCCTGCGCCTGGCTGTAACTGGGATACCGGGCCAAGTCTGGAGCCAAGGGATCCAGAGGAATCCAGGGCACCTGGGACATAGCAGAAGCCAGGGAATGGAACCCTCCAAAGGTTGCCCCAGGCCCAGGGCAACCCCTCAGAGCCTCTGCACAGAATCCAGGCCTGGCCCATCCCCGTCACCTTCTCAGCGCCTGCTTCCTCCACCACCTGAAAGCTCCCGTCGTCAGTTAGCTGGTAGGTGGCCGGTGGGTACAGCTCTGAGGCAGAGGAAGAAAAGGCTGAACATCTCCTGCACCCTGGAGCTCACTGTCCCTGTCCCCCTACCCGTGTGCCCTGGGGAAGGGGAAAGGCTGTATCCACACCTCTGGCCTGAGGACTGGCCTCTGGGGGGGCTGTCTACTCCCCTCCCCCCCAGCAGGGCACCCCTACCGTAGGGGATGAAGGGCCGGTCGCTGGGGGGATGTAAGAGGAAATGTTTCTCTCCCGACACCACACAGTAGAGGTTCTCGTAGTGGTCCTTGTGCACTGTTGACATGGGAGGCAGGGCCGTGAGGGGCAGGATGGGGGCAGGGGGCCGGGCGAGGGGGGCATTGCAGCCCCTGCTTGCCAGGGCCCGAAGGCTCCCCCAGCACTAGGCTCAGTCCACTTAGGGACACTGGATCTCAGCCTGACTCCCAGTGCCCTGGGGAGCTTTCTTGAGACAGCAACAAAACACTGCCCTTCAGGCCGGGGGCAGGCCGTAAGTGTGAGACCTGGGCCCCGGGCCCCACTGCAGCCCCCGACACACTGCAGGGGCAGCCTTGGCAGCCCACTGCCAAGTGTGGTCCCACCACTGTGAAAACTTCCAGGGGCTGAAGATAGTCCGGCGGGCAGGGCGCTTGTTCACAATGCAGCCCACCCCAGTATTATACTGGGCACCTGAGACCTGCCAGGAGTGGTCTTTGCGTACCACCAGGTATGGCCCAGAACCAAAACAAACAAACAAAAAAACCCAAAACTTCCTGTCCTCCAAGGACCCCCAGGCCCTGTCCCGCCTGAGTTGTGTCTAGAACCCTATACATTTGACATTAGGCAGCCTAGCTCTTCCCCGGACACCTTCAATTCTGCTTCTGCCCCCAACCCCAACTCCATCCTCATCGACACCTACGGGAGGTCACAGCAGCCGCCTCCCCCAACCAGAAGTTCACGGCATCGGGCATTTTTCCTGCGGGTCAGAGCGAAGAGGTAAGTGAGGGGTGCAGTACCGAGGGCAGGTGGGAAGGAACCTGATGTGGGACCCCGGGGACCTGGGAGGGAACAGCATAGATGGACGAGGTTCAGCCTCCACCCCTGGACAAGGAAGGAAGAAGAAAGGGGGAGAGCTGGGCGGCACAGGCCAGGAGACAGGGGTGCTGGCCGCCTCGCTTGACCCGTGGGGGGCGGCTCTGCAGGGCGGCCGTGCCCGCTTACCCAGCGCTTCGGAGGCCCAGGGCACGTGCGGCTGCAGGTCGGGCAGCAGCTGGGGCAGCTCGGCCGGCAGGTTGGAGCACTGCTTCTGCACGTAGAGGACGCCCGGGTGCCGGGCGCGGCCCTCCAGCACGTCCAGCACGCGGCTCAGGGGCAGGCGGCGCTCCGCCGGCATCACGAAGCGGTCCCCGCGCACGGCGTCTGCGTAGCCATCCGGGGTCACGGCCACGCTCACCTCCGTGGAGCCCACCGTGGCTCTGGGGGAAGGAGGGACACTCAGCGCCCGCCCGACCCCCGCTGCCCGCGCACCCGCCCGCAGCCCTCCGGCGGCCCGCACCTGAGGTAGGGGAGCGACCACTTCTGCAGGGCCGGCCAGTGCCGCAGAGCGCCGCGGATGATGCACGGCCGGTTGGGGCACACCCAGTCCCGGTAGAACTGAAGGGGCGTCGGGGGCTCATCCAGGTAGGGCACCGTCTGGGGCACGCTGAGCTCTGAGGGAGGAGAGGGAGCCCCACCTGAGATGGGCACCCTGGGCGGGGCAGTACCCACTGGTGACCAAAGCACCCTGGGCAACGCAGCAACGCACCTGGCTGGGCCCCTGACCTCCCGCGAGCCATGCCCAGCCCCACAGTAGACCTTGGCTTGCTTCTCAGTGCAGTCCGTCTCCTGACACCCCTCAGAAAGGCAGCCAACGAGGCTATGGGGGGCAGAATGAGCAGGGATGAGGTGGCAAGGGTGGTGGTGGGGTATGTGTGTGGGGGCGGGTGGGGGGTAGAGTGGCCATGGCCTTGGACAATGACTCCTGAGCACTTGGCAGCCCATGTAAGAGGCTGACCACCTCCCTGCTGCCCCCGCCCCCCACCCTCTTGCAGACTAAGCCAGGCCCAGTCAAGGCTCTGGGGTGGGAAGAGCATCCCCATCCTGAGAGCCAGACTGCCACATGCTCCTGGTAGGCTGTGCAATGTGCCTCCCTGGGGTGGTTCTGTTGGCCCCGTGTAACCCTTAATAAAATCCTCCTTTTGTTTCTTAGCCCCCACTCCCCCCCCCCCCCACCATCCTATCACCCCATTAACCGGCTACACCCTGGTCCTATTGATTCTATCTCTCAAACCACACCCTGTGCGCCTGCTGGATCCACATTCAAGCTGCTCTGCGTCCTCAACTGTCCCTTCAGGAGGCTCCTCCCTGACCATCTCTTCCTAAATTGCAACTTGGGCCCTCACAAGCCTTGACACCTTTCCCCTTTCATTCCCCCGACACTCGGCACCAGCTCATGCAGTAGGTATGTCACTGATCCAAATCGCTCAATGGGTTCCCTGGCTCGAACACAGGCCCCTGGAGGGCAGGACTGCTCATGGAGCACATTCCTGCCTCCCCGGGACGGGGCCGAGTCTAGCTCCTGGGAGCATGTCTGCTCAATGGTGGAATGAGGGACTGGAGGACAGTACAGTGGGTAGGGCAATTCCCTTGCACACATCTGACCCGGGTTCAATCCCTGACACCCCATATGGTTCCTGAGCCCTGCCAGGGGTGATCCCTGAGCACCACCAAAAAGAAAAGAAAGAAAATTCAGTGGTAAAATGAGAGTTACCGGCTGGATGGTCGCTGCAGTTAACTGGTTCCCTTGGCTTAATTCTATTCCCTTTCAAAGCATCCCTCGCCCTGGCCCCAGTCAATTTCCTGGAACACAATCGCATCTGCTCACACCCCCAGTAAAAATCCCTTTGATGGTTTACCACCACTTACAAATCCAGTCTACCTGGGCAGGTAGCACGCTCCACGAACAGGTCTGACCTACCCTTCCGGTCTGTGTGCCGCCTGTCTGTGGCTGCCCTGCTCCACACTGGCTCATGGGCACAGCCACAATTGGCAATGAGACCCCCTCGGCTGGTACGCCTGTCCTACTCACAACAGGGCATGCAGCTTCACATCCTTCTCCTGATGTCTCATAAGGCCTGGTCCTCAGCAGGTAGTTACCGCATCTTACTCCAAAAACCCATTGTACCCATGTTCACCTCTCTCTTTTGCAATCAGAAGGAAAGTGGCCTTTTTATTGTATTTCTTTGAGGGGGAAGAGCCCAGGAGGTACCTGGGAAGCCCAGGAGTCCCCCACAACACACACACACCCAACAATTCTCACCCAACAGAGCAGGAGTTCCTTGCAATCTCTGAGGGTGGGTGCTGCTCCGGTCCTTCGATGCTGGGGATAACCTGGGTTACCCAGGCAGGGCTCAGGGGACTCCAAGGCTGAGCCTGGTGATACTGGAGGGACCATGTGGAACCAGGGATGAAACCCAAGTGCTCAGTAAATTACATATTGGCCCTAGAAAGTGACTGTTCATCATCTCCGTCCCTTCCTTCCTCCCTTCTTCCCTCCCTCCCTTCCTCCTTCTTTTCTTCCTGTGCTCAAGGATCACTCCTAACAGTGCTCTCCGGGCCATGTGTAGTACCAGGGATCAAATCCAAGTTGACTGCATCATAAGGCCTTACTGTTTATATGATCTCTCTAGCCCCCAGATGGAAAATGACTTCATTTTTTTTTTGTGGTTTTGGTTTGGGGGCCTCATCCAGTGATGCTCAAGGGTTACTCCTGGCTCTGTATTCAGGAATCACTCCTGGTGGGCTCTGAGAACCATATGGGATGCCAGGGATCAGGCCACTTGCAAGGCAAGCTTCCTACTCATTATACTATCTCCCCAGTCCCTGGAAAGTGACTTTAGATCCAAAATGGAAAATGAATTTTGAGAAGACCTTGGTGGGCTCAAGAACACTGAAAGTAGCTGGTGCATATGCTCACAATACTGGCTACAGTGCGGATTCCCCAGTGGGCGATACCATCTCCTGGGGGCACTGGACAGACCCAGCGGGTCTTCATAGCCATGGATGTGACTGTGGAGCACTTTGTTCCTCGGAAGGCAGATGTCAGGGGGTGTGCTGACTGAGGCCTAGTAACTCGGCACCCTTGGGGCTGGAGCAAGAGTACAGTGGCTAGGGAGCTCGCCTTGCACACAGCTAAATCGGGTTTAATCCCTGGCATCTCACATGAGCCCCACCAGGAGTGATGCCTGACAGCAGAGCCAGGAGTAAGCCCTGAGCACCACTGGGTGTGACCCACAAAGCAAAGCAAAGTTTGGTACCCTCTGGGTAGAGGGACGTACAGCTAAGGGAGACAGGGAAACAAAGGGGGAGTCTGGAAACAAAGGGGTCGGCCAGGAAGGCGAGCTGAAGCTAGGTAAACCTCCCAGGTATTCACACCAGGGCTTTTTTTTTGGGGGGGGGGGGGGCAGGGGCATATCCAGTGATACTCAAGGGTTACTTCTGATGATGCTCAGGGAACCATATGGGATGCCAGAGATTGAACCCAGGTTGGCCAAGATAATATGCCTTACCCCTGTACTATCTCTCTGGACTCTCATTGGGGGGGCCAGATATGTAGAAACTGCCATTTCTAGACCTTTGCATTTTCTGTTATTTCAGTTTTACTTTCTCAACATATGAATTTCCTTTAGGGGAGGGGCCACTTTTTTTTTCTTGGGGCCTCACATGAGAGCATTCCAAAAGGAATCTAAACAACTCATTTAACCCAGCAACCACTCTTCCCAACATGTGGCCCCCACTTTTGGCGTTGGACCCTCAGGGCTTCGGCCTATGAGGCCTCTCCCAGGGAACTCTGCCCTCTGTCCATAGACTCTTGATGCTTGCTGATGCCGAGACCGCATGCTGAAGAAAGCTCTCTGAGGGTGGAATTTTGGGGTCATAGATATATCCTAAGCACACTGACCAGAGCTGGGCATGGCCGGATGTTTAATGAGCACTTATTAAATGAACACTCAAAGTATTCATTGCAGCGTTTTTATTTTTTATAGACATAAGGCTCAGCATGGCGATGTGGTGCTGCTGAGACCCAGAGATGCTGTGGGGCACAAGGGTTACCCCCAAGATAGCATTCAAGCTGGCAGGGAGAGCATTTAAGCACTTCAGAGCCAGGGCTGGGAAGAGCATGTCACCCCTTTGAGCTATCTTCCAGGTTCCTCCTTACAGCATTAAAAACAGGATAGAGGGCTAGAGCAATAGCACAGCGGGTAGGGCATTTGCCTTCCATGCGGCCAACCCGGGTTCGATTCCCAGTATCCCATATGGTCCCCTGAGCACTGCCAGGGGTAATTCCTGAGTGCATGAGCCAGGAGTAATCCCTGTGCATCGCCGGGTATGACCCAAAAAGCAAAAAAATAAAAATATAAAAACAGGGTGGAAACTACCTAAATGCCTACCAATACTGGGGCATGTGAGGAAACAGCAGCACCAGCACAGAGCCTGGAAAATGCAGGAGAAAGGGCTGATCTCTAAGACATTTCAGTGGTTTGATTAGCAGCCTGCCTTTGGTGGAGGAAGTACGATGAGGTTGTATGTGAAGGTGTATCTACAGACCACATTTCAGACAGAATGCAAGTGGTGTGTGGAATGGGTAGGAAACTTAAACCTCACTGTGTTTTGGTTGGGGGGGGGAGGTGGGCAGTGTTTGAGGGACCACGTGGTTCTGCGGATATAACCTGGTCAGCCTAATGCAGGGAAGTATCCCACAGCACTCTCTGGCCATGAAACCCACTGTTTCTTAAGGCACCCCTGTTAGTATTCAGTGGTAAAGGAAAAGAAGTAGGAAGAAACAAACAAGCAGGGCCCGACAGCACAGGGGGTAAGCACTTACAGCCACCCCGTTTCATCTGGGACGTGCCATGGTCCCCCAGCAACGCGAGGTTCGGCAAAAACCAATAGAGCACTGATCTTTATTTCAGACTGTGAACGTAGCAATCAGAGGAGGGAGGACTGGGACTGCTGCCCACCGATTCTCCGAATGAGTCCCCACCAGGGCTCCAAGGGGTTAAGAATCAAGACCTCACAGCAGGAGGGGAGCCGCAGGCTGCTCCCAGCGATCCCACGCGGGGCCCACCGGGGGCCTCACGAGCGCGGGAAAGTGTGACCACTCTCGGCCCAGGCAGGCCCGAGGGGTGCGAGCAGAGGGAGGGAGCGCGGGCGCGCCCGCGCGGCTGGGGACGTGGGGTCCCCGGGGGTCAGCGTGCCGTGGTCTGAGATCCCCGGGCGAGGCCGTCAGGGTGCGCCCGAGGCCGCCGGCCAGGGACCTGGGCGCCCTGCACCGCGCGGCCGGGCACCCGGCTGCCCGCAGCCCCGCCCGCGTCCTGAGGCTGCTCGCAGTCGACACGAGGACGCTCCGGCCTCTGGGAAGACACTCACCCCTCGCGGCGGCCGGGAACCCTCGTAACTCCCTCCGCACGGCGTCCAGAGCCGCCTCCGCCATGACGCGGCCGCGCCGGCCACGGCCCCGCCCCCAGCCCCGCCCCCAGCCCCGGGCCCCGCCCCCCGCAGCCCCGGCCCCGCCCCCAGCAGGCCTCCGCGAGCCCGCCCGAGCACCGCCCAGGGCCGCCGTACCCGTGCTGCGGGAAACAGAGCCCCCCTTTGCCTGCCGCACCACTCCTGCATCCCAGAGGTTAACAAATGATTGTTTATTGACGAGTTCGGACATCAGTACAAACGGACATGGTAAAAAAAACAGCCTCTGCCCCCATGAGACCAGGGGAGGAAGGAAGAGCCCTGGCCTGGACAAAGTACAAAAGTTATAAATAAGGGACTTCAAAACTGGATTCGGGAAAATCTGGGGCTTGAGAGGGGATGGAGGGAGGTGGGGAGAGGGGGGCTGCAGCTGCCGATGGCCCCAGACACGCACAGGGGGATGGCACCGGCCAGGTCACAAGGTAACCCCAGGCTGGGCTGGGAGAAGGGAAAGGGCTGCAGCCTTCTGGATAACCTGAGCTGGAGTGTGGCCCCCTGGGGGGTTGTGGGGTGGCAGGCCAGGCTCGCTGAGGTTGGCCGAGAAGGCAGCCCAGGGAGCCAGCCCCAGTCCTCTTTGGAATTGGGGGTGGGCAGGCAGTGGAAGCAAGCTGGTAACACTCCCGGGTTCCTTTAACGGGTGGCCGTGCAGGTGAGGGAAGTGAGGAGGATGGGGGGGCCAATGCAGATGGCCGGGTACCTCTCAGAATCCAGTTCTTTAGATCTTAGCAAGAGCCATGCAAAGCTGTGCTGACCCACCCGAGACTCCTGTGCCTCACCGGCGCTCACCCACTGCATCACCACCAACCAGGGCCTGCTCTGCCCGGCCCCACCTCTCCCCCACGCCAGCTGTCCTATTCTCTTTCCTCTGCCCTCGGCCACTTACCTGTACCACCTTTCTGCTGTGTCTCAACCCCTGCTGCAGCCCCACCCCCATTGGCCCCTGAAACTCCTGCCCCATGCCTTGTTCCTCTCTGGCTCCAGGACCCTGAGCACCACTGGGGGCCCAGCATAGCCTCAAGGGAGGCCCCTTCTCCCTGAGCCAGCCACCCTCTTGGCCATCTCGTACCAGCCAAGAATTCAGAATTCAGTTAGGGTGCTCTGTCCTTGTGCTCCTGGACAAGAGTCCCAGGAGCCGTTGTAAAAGCAGGATGTGAGGAAACCAGGCATACAGCAGCCAAGCATCTGCTCTAGCAACACACATGTGTTTGAAGGTTGTGCATGTGAGAGAGGGGGAGATGGGATGCAGGGAAATTAATGAGTGAGCAAGAGTGAGTGTGCAAGAGGGAGGGAGAGAGACAGAGAGAGAGAAAGAGAGAAAGAGGGAGAGAGAGAGAGACAGAGAGAGGGAGAAAGAGGAGAGAAAGAGGGAGGGGGAGAGAGAGAGAGAGAGAGAGAGAGAGAGAGAGAGAGAGAGAGAGAGAGACTGCATCTGTGGCCGAGGTCCGGAGAAGGTAGGTGGTGGTGCCTGTGGACGGTGAGGAAGGGCCAGTGCCCGCTCTGGGCTTCAGCAGTCAGCTGGGCTAGGGAGGACCAGGGGACTAGGGGGTTAGGACTTCAGGTCTGCTCAGCAAGGTGCTTACTGTCCCGCAGCAATGCCCCACTACTGGCTGGCTTCACGGCTCTGGGGTGGGAGGGGACGCGGGGTGCAGGGGGAGACAAAGGTTAAGGGCCCTCTTGGGGAGAGAATGGGAGTGGAATGTGGGGCTCAGGACTTGCCAACAATTCAAGCCTCCTGATGGCTGGGAATGCCTTGGGGGTGGGAGAGAACTCTATCTTTCTGACTGTCAGGAACTGGGGACAAGGGACCAACCCCACGGGCAGCTGGTGTGGGAGGGGAGGGGAGGCGGGGGGAGTGGCTGTGGCCCCCCTGCCCCCCACCCCGCTGGATACCCTGTGTGTGCTCCAGCCGGGAGCTGATCCCTGCAGTAACGTCAAATGGCTTCTAAGGAGAGAGGCTGCCCTCCTCCTCACAGCACCAAGGTGACAAAACTCAAGACTGATCCCTGCATGAGCCCCAGAGGGGCTGAGGAGGCAGGAGGCCAGGAAGGTGAGGCAACAGTCAGGGAAATAAATTAATAAATACAGGGGCCCCTGAGGGACAGCTGGGACAGCTACTTCCCCTCTGGGCACCGATGCCCCTGGGGCCGGGCCGCGGCTCAGAGTCTGCGCTCCATGCGCCGCTCCACGGCCCTTAGCAGCAGCTCCGAGTACTGCTCCAACAGGGCCTGGGTCTGCTCTGCCCCCACCCCGGGACTCGTGCCCGGACTGCACAGCAGCGGCCCTGCCAGGGCCTCGAGCTCCTGCCGCATGGATGAGAAGGTGCTTCTGAGGAGCTGAGTGATGCGACTTTGCTCTGCGGACGGCGTCTTGCAGCCAGCCACCTGCAAGAGGAGTGGAAGGTCTGTGGATGGGGGGTCAGAGGAGGGTGCCCACCTGCTGCCAAGGAGGGGAGGCACAGGCTGAGCAGGGTAGGCGGGCCACACACCACCATCACCCCGCTGCCCCTCTGTCAAGGGCGGCTAAACAGGTTAGAAAGGCGACAGGGAAGCTGTAGGGAATATTCGGCTCTGATCAACGCGATGCGGAATCCTGCTCCCACTCTCCCATCTCAGCTCTCAGCCAGGAACAACCCAGCCATGGTGCTCGGTTCAAGAGGCCTGACCGGGCCTCCAGCACCCACCCAAGGTGCCCAGTACACTCTGGGTTGCTCTCTTGCCAGGGAGTGCCACAGTCTCGCTATTGTAAACTCATCTCTGTCTCTGCCTTTCTCGCTCTTTGTGTCTCTTTGTCTCTCTCTTTCTCCCTTTTGTTTTTTAGGTCACACCCAGTGGTGCTCATTTCCCACTCCTAGCTGTGCTCAGGGAGCACTCTTAGGGGATCGAACCTGGGCTGTCTGCCTGCAAGGCAAGTGCCCTTCCTACCTGCTGTACACTGGCTTGGGCCCCAAGCCCAGCTCTCCTAAGCTCCTGGTCACTAAGGTATGTGCTTTCTTCCCTCCCGAACACTCACCACATGGTAGAGACGCAGAGCCTGGCGCATGTTGCCCTGGAGCTCAGCCACCAGCTGCTGGCACTGTTCCAGGCTCACCGCTGCTTCTGGGGGAGAGAAAATGCCATAAGGCCCAGTGAAGCTGCCCGAGGCCCACCACCCTCTCCATTCACCCTCCTGAAACCTGCAATCCCACACTCAGCAGGTCTGGAGGAAGGAATCAGTCCCACCCAGGGAACTGCTGTCCTAAGCGGGAGCCAGCAGAACACGGGGGAGCATGAAGTTTAGTAAGAGGGTCTCACCAACAGGGGTGTGACTTAAGGACCAAGACAGGAGCAGACAGGATGGAAAAACGCCAGAGGCTGAATGCACAGAAATGGGATGGAGCCACGGAGCCAGAGAGTGACCAAGGTGGGGGGAGGGTGGAGGTGGGGGGGGAGCCGCGCACCTGGGTCCTGGCTCAGGGATGCCCCGGGCTGGGTGCTTTCCACAGGGCTGCTGGTTTTCTCGGGGGGCAGGGGCTGCGTGTGGGGGCTGTGGGGTGCAGGCTGAGCCTGGCACTCTGTCCTGGGCTTAGGCGCAGCACCCTCGGCCGCCCAGGCCCGCCTCTGCTCTGCCTCGGCAGCGGCCCGGCCCCGGGCAGCAGGTGAGAAGGTGGCCAGGGAGGGCCGATCAGGCAGTGGCTTTGGGATGTCCAGGACCAGGTGAGCCCGGCTGGGCAGGGCCAGCTTGTTGAGCGGAGAGACTCGGACAGGGGCAGGAACTTGCGGCTCGGAGGCGAGGCTCAGGTTCTCCCCCATGGAGATGCTGCGTGCCATCTTGGCCTTGGAACTGGTGGTGGGGTTCTGGTAGGAGTGGGGCTGGGACAGGCCGCCCTGGGGTGCCACTTCCCGTGACGACAAGGGGCCTGGGGGAGGGGCTTCATCTGCAGAGGGCGGAGATGGGGAGATGGAGGCCGGTTACCTGGCAATGTCTGGGAGCCAAACTCCACCCCTCCGTTCCCCAGGCCAGCGTGGACCAGGCCCAGTCCTCACTTTGGCGCTCCTCTCCTCTCCCGCCCCTCCACTCACCCTGGGGCACCAGACTCTGCACCGACTGGGCTTTCTGGAGCCCCCCGAAGGGGCTGCCGGTGGCCACTCTCTTGGGGGTCCAGCTGCTGTCGGGGCTGAGGCGGCGGCGTGGCAGTAACACGGGGGCTGCCTGCTGGGGACTGCAGTTTCCAGGGCAGGGCTCCACTTCTGGCGGTGCTCCCGGAGGATTGGCACCAGCGCCTCTCGGCGGCTCTCCGGAAGCCAGTGGCATGTGGACTGGTCTGGGCAGGCTGGAGGAGTTGGGGGACGGTTCCCTACGGGGATGGCAGGGGGAGTGGCACAGAGAAGCCTCAGTGTCCCTCCTTGGTAGGTTAGGGAGAAGCTCTGAGGGCAGGAGAGGGGCAGGGGGCTGCCCCCAAACTAAAATGCAAAATACCTTGGCCCGTCCTGCGGGAGCCCTGGGTGGGGAGGCCTGCAGTCGGGGGAGTCAGAGGTCTCTTGGGAGAGTGAGGTGCTGGGGAGAGGTACCTGAGAGGGGGGGTCTGTGCTTGCAGCAGGAACCTCGAGGAGATGCTCCGGGATTCTGTCCGCTCCAGCCCCCTGGCGGGGCCCCCTGCCAGGGCACAGCTCGAATGTGGGGAGGCCCCACGCAGGCTCCGCCTCCCCTGGAAGGCGGCCCCGAGGCATGGCTGCCCATGCACCCCCCTCCCCGCCAGGCAGAGGGGAGAAGGGCAGGCTGGCCCCTGACCCCACCTGGAGCCGCCCCATTGGCCAGAGTCTCAAAGTGCTGCTTCAGGAACTGCTCCTGGTCCGGGGTCCGGGGGCTCCCCTCCTGCAGCCCATAAGGGCCAGTACCCCCCTCCTCTTCCTCCTCGTCGGGCTCCTCCAGGTCTGAGGGAATGCCATCCACACTCAGGGGCTCCGTGCTCTCCGAGTCTGGGAGCGGGGCGGGGAGAGAAGCACCGCGCTGCACCCCTGCAGCCGGCAGTCCCCGGGGCCCCCGCGCCCAGCCGTCCCTGCAGCGGGAGCCTCACCTTCGTTGGGGTGCTCAGGGCTCGACAGGCGGCTGCCGCTGTAGTCCACAGAGCAGGCGCTGTCGGGGCTGTGCTTCTCCGAGCCCCGGCCGCCCGCGTAGCCTCTTCCCAGGCTCCCTTGGGACGGGGCCTGCACCTGGAACTCACTGGCGGGCAGGGGCGGCCGTGAGCAGAGGAGGTGGCCTCCCGAGGCTCCTACCTCCACCCACCCATGAGCAGGGTGGGGATGGGCCAGCTGAAAGGGGTGGGTTGGTATGGCCGGCCTGGGGACAGGGGGCGCAGGGCTCTTGCCTGGTGTCCAGTGTGGGGCTGTCGCTGGGCTCCGGATAGACGATACTGTCCTCGCCAGGCGTGGGCTCCAGGTCCTGAGCAAAGACCCCCTCCTCCTGGGACAGCAGCCGAATGATGTGGGAGCAGGAGCAGGGCTGGGAATGGGAGGGGTGTCTGGGTGAGGGTGTCTGTGCCCCCATTCTGGGGCTGGCTGCTCTCCAAAGCCAGGAGGTCGGGGTCCAACCTGTGTTCTGGCGCTTCTGCAGCCCCCCAGAACAACATGAGCCTACTCTCAGGACCCCCGCTCCCTTTGCTTCTCTAGCCCTGGCTGTGTCCCACAGAGCCCAGGCATGGAGCCAGCCCCAGAGGCGGGTAGAGGCTGCCCGGGACAGCACAGGCTCACCTGGCCAGCTCGGGTAGGCTGAGGCGCCTGTGGCCCAGACTTCCCCAGGGCAGAAGGGGCCATGGCGTCTTTCCCGGGGCCCTGACTGAGGGGAGCCATTGTGTCCAGCTGCCGCAGGTCCAGCATGGAGCGCACGCTCAGCTCCACGCCGGGCTGGGCCCAGCGGCCCCTCCTTCGGGGTCCTTGGGTGGCTGCAGGAGCGGGGTCCAGGAACTCCTCAGTGTCCTGTGTCTGGTGCGACAGAAGTGATCATGGGCACCTGCCAGCCATGGCAGCAAACCCTCCTCTATCCCAAATGTTGGCAGCACCAGCCACTCAGCTCAGCATCCTCCTCGAGACTCTTCTCATCCTGCTTCTGCTTCCAAGGAAGCTAAGTACTGCTGACACCTCGTAGGGGTTGATGCATGTCCCAGTCCTCACGGCCCAGCTGAGAGGACCCACTAGTCTCAGGCTCCACCGGCCACCTCACACTTTCTCTGAAAGTCCCTAAACTTGGCAGGCAACCCCAAGTCCAAAGCCCCTGAGACCTGATCCAGGGCCTGCTAAGCACCCCCATCCCCGCCAGGAAAGGGCCACTGCCCCGCCCCTGGGGCTCACTCAGAAAGCCCCTGTGCGGGCACTGCTCAGCCATGGGCCCCTTATGGCCTTTCCCCTTGATGGTTCTGCAAGGTCTAAGCTTCCTCCCCACCGGCCTTTAGAACTACCGTGTCAGTCACCTGTCTCCTAGGGGTGGACAGCAAAAAGGAAAAACAAAAACTTCAGTGCCGGCCGGGGCAATAGTACAGCGGGGAAGGCATTTGCCTTACATGCAGCCAACCCGGGTTTGATTCCCGGCATCCCATATGGTCCCTCTGTGCATTGCCTTGGGAAATTCCTGAGTGCAGAGTCAGGAGTAACCCATGAGCATCGCTGAGTGTGACCCACAAAGGAATAACAAAAAAAAAAAAAAAGTGTCTCCAGATTTCTCCTCTTCGGACCTCTGATCTTCTGGCACTTTAGTTTTAGCCCCTGGGTTCAGGCACCCCTTTCTATCCCCCAACTCTCCACCTGTTTCTCATTCACATTCACATGTGGAGTGGGGTCCACACCACAGTGAGGAGCAGGACTGTGCCCCTGGAGGTGGCAGCCGGGCTCCCATGAGGGGACCTAACCCAGCATGGCTGCAGCAAGTGCCCCCAAAGTCCCTTTCTTGAACACAAGGGATGGAGCATGTGGGCAAACCCCGCCCCAAGTGCTCACCAGGCTCAGACAGCCTGCTTTCCCCCAGCTTCACCCCTTGGCCCCTCGGAGGGCCTCAAAAGCGCCGTCACTCACCCGACTCATCTCCCAGTGCGACAGACTTCGGGGCAGGGCCGAGCTGGGCCCCAGGGCTGCACAGAGATGACAGTCAGAGGTTCCCATTTCCTCAGCCCATTCACCCCACGGTCCCCACAAGGCTCACAGGGGGCCGCTAGGGCCACGCTCAGGCCCACACACCTGGCTCCTTCTTGGTGCCTTTGGCAAGGATGGGCAAAGCTGGGAGCTCCTCTTCTTCAGTCCCCTCGTCTTCTCCCTCTTTGTCACTGTCGGACGACAGAGCTGGCACAGGAACGAGCACTGATGGGGCCTTGTGGCTGTGTCCAAGACGAGGACAACATGAAGAGGCAGCTCAGCAGGGAGGCCAGCTCCCTGGGGCTTGTTGTGGAACAGGCACCGGGAGGGCGGAGGGCGCAGCACTCACCAGCTGGGTCCGGCAGCCTTTTGGGGAGAGGAGGGTCCCTGTGGCCTGTTCCCTCGCTGCCGCTGGCGCAGCTCAGCCAGGCGCTGCCTCATACTGATGGTCATCTCAGAGCTCAGGCGCCACACAAAAACGCAGCTAAGAAGGGCCACAGGGTCAGGTAAGGGCAAGGGGGGTGGGGGCTGACCTGGGGTGCCACCCTCGAGGGCCAGGTGAGACCAGCAATACCCCAACCCAGTTGGACCTCCTGTGGGGAGTGTGGGGGACGGGGGAGAGTGAGGGTGTGGTGGGGGTGGGTTTGAGTGCTGGGCCTCCGGGAAGCCTGCTTCCGCTCACCTGTCCCCGGACACAGAGATGAGATGTTTGCAGTCATTACTGAATTTCATGCCAGTGACAATCTCTGTGCAGGACAAAGAGCATGGTCTCGTCAGTCACTCCGAATCCCCGGCCAAGGCTTTGTCCCCCACAGAGGAGATGAAGCAGGCTAGAAGGCAGGGCCGGAAAGTCCACGGGCCTCCGAGAGACTGAAAGAAAAAAAAACGGCAGAGCAGCAGGCGCCAGGGCCGAGGGTGACACTCACCTGAGTGGCCGAACATGGTGGCCACACACTCGCCTGAGGAGAAGTCAAAGATGGAGAGGTTCTTGTCAGAGCAGCTGGTGGCAATATAGATCCCGGAGGGGTCTGTCTGCACCTGAGGAGTGACCCCGCAGCTGGAGGAAGCCGTAGGCACAGCCCCTGCCCAGTCGGCCCAGCTCTCCGGGCCCACTGGAGCCCGGCCGGGGTCTCACCTTGATGAGAGTGCCGTCCTCCCCCTGGGAGCCCTTGAACAGCTTCTTCTGCTTCCCACTGCTGATGTTAAAGATCCTGCAAAGAAGCACACGCTGGTCAGCAGAGGCGGCCGCTCACCCCCACCAGGCTCCCCCCACACTAGGGTCCCAGACAGACAGACGTGGGGACCGAGCTGACTAGGTCTGACCCCCTCAGACACAGAGGATGTGAGCACCAGGGCTGGGAAGGGGTGCCCACCGAATATTCCGGTCCTGGCAGCCGATGGCTGTGTACTTCCAGCTGGGCTCCACGTCCATGTCGTAGAGGGTCGTCTTCCGCACCACGTGGTGTGTCCGTGTAAACTGTACCCCATCTCCAGACTGCAGGCAGGGAGCAAGTGGGCAGACCCCATGCTACACACCTCCCCACACAAAGGGAGACCCCCACACCCCCCAGGCTGGCCCACCCATAAGTGCGGGGCCCTCACCTTCTGGGCTGTGCGGAAATAGATGCTCTTGTCAGCCCCGCAGCTGATCATGCGCACTTGCCCATCGCTGGCTGCTGCAGAGGAAGGCGGGTGCTCTCAGCTCTCCCCACAGGGGCAGCCTCTCGGCCTTCCCTCCAGGACCCATAGGGCTGTGGCCTCCAGAGACATTAGGGGGCTTTCTCATTCCCCCCACCCCCCTCCTGCTCAGTCACCATGGCTGGCTCTGGGTCCCTGGGCAGAGGAACCATGTCCCACCCGTTTTCCCAGATGGCCACTATCCCACAACTCCACCAGCGGGGCAGCCTCTTCTCACGGGGGCAAGAGGCCAGAGGCAGTGGGTATGTGGATGGGCCTCAACTGCACCACCCCACCTGCAAACTTGACAGCTGTGATGGAGGACGAGTGCTCATCCAGCGTCTGCTGCAAACTGTATTCACGGCCCGCATCCAGCACATGGATCAGCCGGTCCCGGCTCGCAGATGCCAACAGCTTCAGACCTGGGATGGAAACACCCACCCCTTCAGCCCATAGTGCAGGTCCCTTGCTGAGATGAGCCCACACCCCTGGCACAGAAGGGAGGGCACTGATCACCACTGCACCTGCGAAGGCCCCAATCTTCCTGTGAGTTTCAGCCCCCAAGCATGGCCTGGGTCCTCTGCCCATACCTGTGTCAGGCTTCGAATACTCCAGGCACAGGATCTCGGAGTCATGGGCTTCCACCTTCAGCATCTCGCTTAAGGACTGTAGCTCGTGCACTCTGCAGAGAGGGGCAGCCAAGCCCAGGGTGAGGAGAGGGTGACGTCACTACTGGCTATAGGGGAGACTAATGTACCTTTACTTCCCCAAACTTTATTTATTCCTTTTTGGGTAATACCCGGCCATACACTGACGTTACTCCTGGCTCTGCACTCAGGAATTACTCCTGGGGTGCTTGGGGGACCATATGGGATGCTGGGAATCGAGCTCAGGTCAGCCGCGTGCAAGGCAAATGCCCTACCCGCTGTGCTATCGCTCCAGCTCTATTTATTTTTAAATGTAGGAGTACTGCTGTTTATTCCTTTCCCCAAACTTTGTTTTGTTTGTTTTCTTAAGTCTCACCAGGTGATGCTCAGGCATTACTCCTGGCTTTGTGTTCAGGAATCACTCACGGCAGTGTATGGGGGACCTTATGATCCAGTTGCTGGGGATGAATCCCTGGTCAGTGACATGCAAGGCAAGCACCCTACCTGCTGTAATATCTCTCCAGCTCCAGAACTTTTTTTGTTTCTGTCTTTCGGGTCACACCTGATATTGCTCAGGGATCATTCCTGCCAGGCTCAGGGAACCACATAAGGTGCTGGGGACTGAACTGGGTTGGCTGCGTACACAGCAAGTGCCCTAACTACTGCACTATCACCCCAACCTCCCAACCTTTTTGTTGTTAATTATTACTAATTCTGAAACTTTCAGGCTTAGAAAAGAGTTGCAATGAGTAAGAGAGCTTTCCCAATTCCTAATGTTCACCCAGTTGTCCCTAATGTAAACAACTCGGGACATTGGCACCAGGACAGTGAAAGGCAGCATGTGAGTTTCACCAGTGCTTCCTGGCTCCCAGCTCTTACCCAGAGCCTAAACCGTACTGTTATTTCCTCGCGTCTCCTCTGTCCTCCTCCACTCTGTGACCCTGCCCACCCCCCCAACCCCTGCCTAGGAACAAAGCATCTCGACTAGAGTTTGTTTTCTTTATCTCAAAACTAGGCTGAGTTCACAAATGCTGCGTCCTGCCTCGCCTCTACCGCATTATGGGCAGGAGGCTGCTGAAGCTTGATCAATTAAGGTAGTTTCTGCTGTGCCTTTTCCTTGCAAATTATACAGTGACTTGTTTACAGGATCTTGTCCTCCAATCTTTTTGAGCAAACTTTCTGAACGTTCTGGCTTGGGGGCGCCAGCCAGCCCTTTAGCCTGCACAGAAAGCGGTCAGCAAGCCTCCAGGCTGGGCCTCACCTGAGCGTGCCCACTCGGTCTCCTGAGGCGAGGTGCTGCCCGTTGGGGCTGATACACACAGAGCGGATGCCCACCCGGGGGTCCATCAGGGAACTGTCAGCTTTGTCTCCACCGGGCAGCTCTGTGTCCAGCAGGGCCTGAGTGTTTCCATCCACATAGATGATCTTAATGAGGTCCTAGGGGGACAGGTCGGGAGAAGGCAGGTGAGGCAGGGCTGACCGTCCAGCTGCAAGGGTGGAGGCTGTAAGCCCCAGTCCGCACAGCCTGGCCAAATGAGAGCTGGAAGATCAAGATCTGGGATCCAGATCTGGAGAAGGAGGTATGGAGACTGAGGGCTTGGGGTGCTCCCAAAGCGTGGAGTGGGGGGTCCCAGGACCTCGGGGCTCACATTGCTGAGTATGTTTCGGTGCAGGGTGGACCCGTGGACGCCAGAGCTCTCTGTGTTCCACAGGCGGATGGTGTTGTCGGAGGAGCAGGTGATGAAGGAGCTGGGGGGCAGGCAGGCCTGGTTGCTGTCCTTCACTTCAGGGTAAACCTGCAGGGACACGGGAGAAAGTCCAATCACCAGGGCTGAAGCCATATTACAGCGGGCTGGGCACTCGCCTTGTTTGCAGCCAACCCGGCTCGATCCCTGGCACACTGTAAGGTCCCAGCAGGACCAGGAGGTGAGCCCTGAGCACATCCAGGTGTGTTCCATAAAAAAACCAAACAAGCAGACAAAGTCCAGTCTCCAGTTCCGAGTTCCTGGTTGAGAGACACAGGGTAGGAAAGGACGGAGCACCGGCAGCTGCTTGGTGAGCATGTCCGAGCTATCACACCTGCTACACGGCTTGGGGAGGCAATGTGTCAAGCCCCTACGAGGTACTTGTGCTTCCCAGCTAGGATCTCTGACCGGATTCTTGAGCAGTGAGGTGTGTCACACACGTCACTTTACTGCTGAGGAAACAGAGACTAGGGCAAGTTCAGTGACATGTCCAAGGTCCTCCAGCCCAGAACCAGGCAGCAGAACAAAGGCAGGGGTGCTTGGGAAGAAGCCTGAGCTCAGTGAGCACTGCCATCCCTGCTCTAGCCTCAGACCATGGGGGAAGGGCTGCAGATGCACAGGTGTGGCTGGAGACACCAAGAGGTAGGAAGAATGTCAGGTGAGACTCGGGATCCCCCTCTTCACATGTTCCCATGCTCACAGGGTAACCCAGAAGAGGTGACACGCCTCCACCAGGCCCCTCCGCTAACCTCCACACTCCACACGCAGGAGGAGTGGTACAGAGCAGAGTACACCTTGCCCACTTTCTTGGGGTCCCGCACATCCCAAACATAAATGCTGTGATCGTTGTAGACACAAGAGAGCCACTGATTCGTCGGATCGAAGGTCAAGGCGATGGTGTCTGGATACCTGGCGTTGGTCACGCTTGAGAAGAGGCGGCTGTGGGGGCAGAACAGGGAACATGGTGGTGAGAGAGAAGCTGACGGACGGGGGACTGAAGGGATAAAATGAGAAGCCGGCCCTTGACAGCACCCCTCCGCCCTGCAGGCCTGCATGCAGCTGACTGAGGGAGCAAACAGTACTCGCTAGGCCTAGCGGGGTCCTGGGACTCTCCCAACAAACACAGACGCTGTCACCGAAAGCCAGCACCACACACTGGCTGCGGCCAGTATGGAGCAGAACCAGCATGGGCCCCACCATGCTGTGTGAGCACCGGCTCACACCGGATCTCTGTGCCAACTATGGAAATGCCGCCCCCCACCTCCCCGTCTGCCGGGCTGCGTCCCCTGCAGTGCGCACCACAGGCGTTTCCACCCCATCAGAGGCACAGTGCAATGTGGCGCCTGCCTCGCAAACACGGCCAAACCTCTGCTGTCATACACGTGCTAAGCGCAGGCTGGCAGCACTGCTGTCGGCCATCTGTGGTAATGCCAACATGTTCTGGTCAGAGTGGAGCCAGGGCTGTGTGAGAACACCACCAAAACGGGACACAACCCCCAGCTAGGACAACTAAAACAATGTGACCAGGATAAAGTGACCCTGAGGAGCACAGTGGGAAGCACCTCGGCAAGCAGCACCACCCACTCTGCACAAGAACATGTCCCCAAGAGCTCTGTGTGGACACCAAAAGCCCCAGCGAGCACTGTGGTGGCGGGTGTGGGCGGCACCACAGTTCCACCTGTGCTGGCAGGACCGGAGCAACAGCACAGTGGGTAGGGCACTGGCCTTGCATGTGGTCAGCCCAGGTTCATCCCAGGAACCCCATATCGTCCCCAGAGCACTACCAGAATTAACTCCTGAATCCAGACCCAGGAGTAAGCGCTGAGCACTGTTAAATGTGGCCCCCAAACAAAACAAAGATCAAAATATCTATGCTGGTAAGCCAAAATACATACTTTAAAAAATAACTGACTGAACCTGGAGTGATAGTACAGCAGGCAGGGTGTTTACCTTGCAAATAACCAACCCAGGTTCAATCCCCGGTACCCCATATGGTCCCCCAAGCCCATCAGTAGTAGTGCCTGAGCACAGGGCCAGAAGTACCACCAGGTATGCCCCCAAAACAAAACCAAAAACCAAAACCAAACCAAAACAAAACGAAACAAAAAACACCGGCATGGGACTGGAGCAGTAATACAGTGTGGTAGGGAACTTGTCTTGAAGATGACTGACCCAGGTTTGATCCCTGACACTCCATATGGTTCCCCAAACTCTTCCACCAGGAGTGATCCCTGAGAGGGATGCCAGGAATAAGTCCTGAGTACTGCCAGGATGGCCCCAACACCAACCAACCAAATGAACAAAACCATACTGGCATCAGACCCTGGTGATCACCACAGTGAAGGGACAGGAGGGGACAGGAAAGAATGGAACCAAACAGAAAATGGTTAATATGGTCAATCACAGACAGTCTGTTTGGGGACAACATCCAACCATAACAAAATGTCAACCCTTTGAAGCATCCCTCATGTGCTCAGAGAGGCGAGCCCACGCCCTCGCACAGGCCCTCCAAGCGCCCCCTTTCTGAGACACTCCCCCATCCCTCCCAGAATGAGGCTTCCTTGGCTGCAACAAGTAATGCGAGGCCCCAGTCTGTCTAGGGGTGCTCCCGTTCATCCCTGGAGTGATCCCGGAAGCAGAGCCAAGGAAGCTGGGCACAGGGCGAGGCTCTAGGACACAGGGCGGGGGTTCCTGGGCTCACCTGGCGTCCGTGACACTGGCAATGTCTGTGCCCAGGGCGTGCGGCCGGGGCAGGGTGCTGAGAAAGTGCAGGTTGGAGGGGTTGAAGAGGCGCACGGTGCCGTCGGCGCAGCCGCAGAAGATGTAGTCTTGACTCACGGAGATGCAGTGGGCCACAGTGGTCTGTGGGCAGAGGGGCACGAGGGTCAGCCTGGCCACCCGCTGCCCCCCGCCCACTGGGAAGCAGCCCTTGTACCAGCGGCAGGGCCCCGGGGGGCGAGGGGTGGAGAGTGAGTGGCGGTGGCCAAGAGCACCGGGAGGCAGAAGACGCAAGGAGAGAGGAAGAGCAGAGGTGGACAGGGGGGCTGGGCCCCACTTACTGTGAAGCTGTCTGTGTTCTGGGCAGGAGAGGAAAGCAGGGAAAGCACAGCAGAGAAAGAGCAGAGAGGAGCCGGTTACCCGGGTCTGGGGGTGGGGGACCCGGCCTCCCGCCCCAGGGTCCCCCACAGGCCCGCGCAGCTCGGGGCACTTACTCTCAGCTCCACCCACTTGTCCAGCAGCCTGCGGTCGCTGAACTCGCACAGCAGCCCCGAGGACGTGATGCAGAAGGTGCTGTCGGCCTTCTTCCCGCGCCCGCAGGCCACGTCCGTGAACAGGTTGTTGCGCAGCTCCCCCAGCAGCCCCGAGCGGCCCAGCAGCGGCACCGTGGCATTCACCTGGGGACACACATGCTGCTGCCGCCCCAGAGCCGCCAAGCCCCCGAGCTGGGCCACCCCCAGGGACGGCTGCAGCACAGGCACTCGGGGACCAAGGGGTGTGCTGGGGGCTGCGGGGGGACTGGGGTGCGTGTGAGAATCTGTACTGGGGCGTGCATGTTGGGGGTGCATGTATGTTGAGCTGCAGTGTGAGTCTGTGAGTACTGGGTGTGTGTATTGGGGCGTGTGTGTGAGGCTAGGGTATGTATGCATTGGGGAGGCATGCATATTGGAGGCGCATGTATACGAGAGTGCATGTGAGTCTCTGTATTGGGGGATATGTGTATTGGGAGGTATGTGAATCTGTATTAGGGTGGGTTTTTTTTTAATTTCTGTTAAAGAGCCATGATTTACAAGGTTATTGATAGTTACATTTTAGGCATACAATAATTCAACACCGATCCCTCCACCAGTGTCAACTTCTCTCTACCAGTGTTCCCAATTCCCTCCCCACCCCAACCCCCATTCTATCCATGTCTGTCAACTTGACAGGCATGTTACAAAGTGGTTGCCACTTAGATCTGAAAACTCATGTTTTCAGTTCTGTTGAGTCTGTGTTTTGGGTATATGGCTCTACCCCTCACTCTTATCACTGGGATAACTGAAGCCCCAGTGACTATTCATGCATTACTTCTTATTCTCTTCTTCCCACCTTGATTTCTTTCCTCTGTCTGTCTCCTCCCTATACGCGGGGGTCAAGGACGATCTAAGCATCCCTGTATTAGGGAGTGGTATGGGGGTGCATGTATTGGGGGTCATGCCTGAGCTGCTCCTGGCCCAGCCTCAGCCCCTCACCTTTGAGGTCTTGCTGTCATCGAGGTACCAGAATTTGATGTGGCGGTTGCCTGCAGTGACAAAGTAGCTGCAATCTTCAGAGAAGGACACGGCCGTAACCCGGCTGGACACCTTATTGGAGGCCACCACAATGTTTTTCTGGAGGCAGGGAAAGCCAAGAAAGCATCAAGATCTGCTTTTTAAGGCATAAGAAAGAGAATAAGAAGATAATGGAGAGGTGGATGGGACAAAGGCTTCTTGGTGCCAACAAGAGGGCTCACTGTCTGGGGCACAGGCTTGGAATGCAGGAAGCCTGGGCTTGAACACCAGCAAGCACCTCACGGTTGCTCAAGTATAGCCTGGACTGACCCCCCCAGGACAGGGCCATGAGCAGCCCCTGAACACTGCCAGGTCTGCCTCCGAAATAAAAATTAAGTGTTTATTAGGGCCAGGATGGCTCAAAGGGTAGGAGTACATGCCTGGCACCAGGCCCAGGCCCAACCCCCAGTACTTTGAGCCTGACCACAGCTCAAGCCCGGCCACCATAGAGCCAAGTATCACCAGCCACAGGCCCCTGAGCACTACTTAGGAGCCCCCATCCCCCGCCCACTCCTGCTGGAATAAAGTATTTCTTGGCAGGGATGGAACTCAGGAACAAACCCTTGCTTGACATGCACAGAGACCCTGGATTCTATCCCTTGGTATGCATGTGCACTTGCGCGTGCGCGCGCGCGCGCGCACACACACACACACACACACACACACACACACACACACACTTCCCTCCAGCATTTACTGGTCAGAAAGACAGGAGGAAAGAGAACCCTTTCTAGAAAATTCGAAGAGAGTCACTTCCTGGGGGTGGAGTGAGGGCAAGGTAGTTCCTCGAAGGCAGGAAGCCAGCCCCTTGCACGGACATGCTGGCCTCACAGCTGCTCTACTCTACTTCAGATCATTTCCCAGGAGGAGGACCCCGGTCAGCAGCATGGATACAGGAGCTCAGGTGGCCGCTTCCTGCCCGCCAGCAGGCTCTCAGACCCACCGAGGCTGCCAGGCCAGAGGCCGGCCCACTCACCTTCCAGGCCCACACATTGACGATCATGTCATGCTGGTAGCCCACGGAGACGATGTACTTGGCACTCGGGGAGAAGGCCACGCAGGCCACCCCGTACTTATGCTCCTGCAGCTCTGCCACCTGGCTGTGTTCAGCCACGTCCCACACACGCACGGCAGGCATGTGCCCGCTCTGCAAAGAGGCAGGGAGCAAGGGTGAGGGCAAAAGCGCTCCCCTCCCTCTCTTTCCCAGTCACCAGATGCAGCTCTGACCAACGGCCCCCGCCGGGAGTCAGGAGCAGGCGCACCTGGGCCACGCTGGAGGACACAGAACACACATCTGGGGCAGCAAAGGCTGTCCAGGACACACAGCCTCAGTTTGGTCCAGGATCTCTGCGGGCAGGATCTGTGCCTCTGTACCTGGGCCAAACGCCTGGGAGGGTTTTTTTTTTTTACTTTTAATTTTTAAAAAATTTTGTGTCACACCTAGCGATGCTCAGGGGTTACTCCTGGCTCTGCACTCAGGAACTACTCCTGGTGGTACTCGAGGAGCCATATGGGATGCCAAGAATAGAACCCATGTTGGCCATGTGCAAGGCAAATGCCCTCCCTGCTGCGCGATTGCTTCAGTCCTCCTGGGAGGATTTTAAGGGCAGTTAAAATCCTAAGCACCGAACTGCACACCCTTCAACCACAACCACTGCTGCCTCGCAGAGGGAGAGAAAGGGAGGAGTTCCACGTGTGCCCAGCAGGGGGCCCCAGGACACCAGGAACAAGATGTGCAATCTTCAGCAGCGGAGCTGGTGGGAGAGGCAAATCTTGGGGTTGGGGTTCCAACCTAGACTACAGAATTAAAGCAGGGGAGGTGCAGGTCCAGCACTACGCACGTGAACAAGACTTCAGGTGATGCAGACAAATACCAAGACTCAACAACTCTTTCAAGGCTCATACTGTGTACACAGACATACACAGATACACACATACTCGTACAATAAACACTGTACATACACACATATAGACTCATATAACACATACTGTATATCACATATACACTTATACAACACTGTGCACATATACATCTAACATACACACATATACTCATACAATAAGCACTGAATATACACATATATACAACCATTGTGTGTACATATATACACTCATACATTGCGTACACACATATACATACATACTCATACAATAAACATTGTGTACACATACATATACACTTATACACTACACATTATGTACATATGCACAACAGAATACTGCAGTTGTAAGAAGAGATGAAACCCTGTAATTTGCCGCTACACGGATGGGTCTGGAGAGTGCCATGCTGGGTACAGATAGTCGGGAGGGGCACAGGATGATCGCCTTCATATGCAGAATAGAGAAACATAGCAAGGGTGTAACAACTGTCGAAAGGCAACAGAAACTGAGACGTGCTCTTTAGTAGAAGTTTACAAAGGAGAGGGACAGGGGTATGTTTCATGATGTGGGGACACTGGGACAACAATGGAGAGAAGCAGACACTCTGCTGGAGAGTGCGGTGCTGGACTTGGTTATGCATGAAACCCTACCACTGAGAGTACTGTAAACCATGGCTCTAAATTAAAAATAAAAGTTAAATAAAATTAAAAAAATGAAATTACATGTACAAAAAGCTCCTTTCAAGACACAGCCAATACCACAAGGCCAGGTGACAGCAGCCCTCTATCCCCAGACCTAGGACCACCTCCCACCCCCCACCCACGGCATTCCCCCACCCTCCCAAAGAATAGCCCCTTCCCTCACTCACCTCACCAGTGACCAAGTACTTGCCATCGGGGGAGAAGGCGAGGGCAGTGATGGTCTTCCTGTAAGAGAAAGGTCAGCACAGTAGGTCTCCAAGCCTGCTCCCCCCTGCCCCCACCGTGGACCCCCCATAGCCCATGTGGCACAGGGAGCCCAGACAGCACCCCCTCAGCCCGGGGGCACGCACTCACCGGGAGCTGTTGAGGATGTGGTGCTGCTTATGTTTCCTGGGATTGAACAGCACAACCACGCACCTGGGCAGGGAAGGGACACACTCAGCACCAATGCAGCGCCGGGGGGGCTACCAAGCCATCTGGGACTCCGGTCACCCAGCACAGAAGCCCTCAGAAGCCCCCCAAAAGCAGCACCATGCAGTTCCCTGAGCAGGAGCACCATCTCTGGCCAAAGCCACCCAGAGCGGCGGGACAGGCTGCAGCCCCCACACAGGACACCACGTGACCCTGGCAGGCATCCATGCTCTGAGGCAGGGCGCAGCCTCTCACGTGGACGCCCAAGTACATAGTTGGCAGAGGGCCAGCTCCCCACGCCCTGTGGTGCTGGAGGAGGAAAGGGGTGACAGCAGAGGGCCCCAAGAACAGGCTCTGTAGGGTGAGGCGGGAAGGTCAGTGTGGCCGGAAAGCCTGACCAGCACCTGAAGTTTCTGCAGTGTCCAAGAAGTCCTGCCCCCAAGGGGACCAGAGGAGACCCCGCTGCACCCCAGACTGCCAGGAGACAGTGCCTGCAGAGAAGTCGGGAGCAGCCTCTCCCTCCAGGAGGCAAGACCCGGTGGGGCAGATTCAGACTGACTCCCTGGGGCAGCTGCAGGGGAGAGCACTGCACTAGGAGTAAGGGGCAGGGCGCCTCACTGCCCTCTGCCTCAGGCTTCCTCAGCACTATCCTGCTGGGTGGAACAGAGCTGCACCCCCTAACTTTGCTTACAGGGAATCTCATGGCACCCTGTCTCAGAATTCCCGCCTCCTTGCCAGGAACTGGAAGCAGAGGACGGTGTGGCCTTGGCCTCAAGCCACTCAAAGGTGCAGACTCCCTGGTGAGTCGTGGGGACACCAGGATCCGAGACACCCAGTTTGCCCAGGACTTCATAAGTCACATCTTCACCTCTAACCCCTCCCCCACATCCTTCCTCACACGGTTCTTCTTTCCGTCCCACCCCCGTCTTTCTCTTCCTCCTTCCTTTCTCTTTTCTCTCACTGTCACCACTTTGGGCCTCAGGCTTCCCTTCTGGAATGCCATGTCAGAAAGACTTTTTGAAATGTGACCAAGAGGGGCTCTTAGGTACAGAGGTCAAAGCACTTGCCTTGCACACAGGCAGCAGGCAACTCGCTCGATCCCTAGCACCACCGATGTTCTCCCTAAACCCTGCCAGTACTAATCCCTGAACAATGCCGGGTGTGGCACAAACCTCCCCCACAAGACAACAAAAGAAGATGATTTCAGAAACCTCAGTCCATATCATTCTCCCTTCCCTTTCCCAGTACACACACACACACACACACACACATATGAACATGTGCACCCTTGTTAGGGACACCCAGGATACAGGGGTCAGGGTCTTCCAGGGAACCTTCGTAAGATGAAAGTGCTCAGAGGAAGGGAACTGATTTCAAGATGATCTGGTCCACAAAATAGGAGACTAACACCCAAGAATGGCCGAGATTAGTACCAGGAATTTTGCTCCATGGATTGGAGGCCAGCCACACATGCTAGGGGAAAAGGCAGCTCAGATAGAGAAGGGAGCACCAAATAAAGGGTGTTGGGAGGATTCTCCCAGGATGGGAGATGCATGCTGAAAGTAGGCTATAGACCGAACATGATTGCCACTCAATGCCTCTTCTGCAAACCACAACACCCAAAAGGAGAGAGAGAACAAAAGGGAATGCCCTGCCACAGAGGCAGGGTGGGATGGGGGTGGGGTGGGGGGTGGGAGGGATACTGGGATCCGTGGTGGTGGGAAATGGGCACTGGTGGAGAGATGGGTATTTGATCATTGTATAGTTGAAACCCAAGCACAAAAATTTGTAAGTCTACAACGGTACCTCATGGTGTCTCACTAATAAAAATTTTAAAAAAATAAAATAAAGATGACCTGGTTTAACCCTCCAGCGAGTTCTGATGAGGGAAGCTCGGCTTGGGGGGTCCTCCAGAGAGGACAGAGCCAGGCCTTGAGCCTTCAAGGACTCACCCGGCAAACCCTCCCGGGTACTTGTCATAGCTGACCCAGCTCCCCTGGCTGAAAGGCCCCAGGTAGCATCTAAGGCCAAACATCTTGTAGGATACCAACCCCACTCCGGTCTAACCACATCCCCCCGCCCCTCACTTCCCGCTCTTCCCCCTGGAAGGCCTGCCCAAGGACAGTTGCCCATTCCCTTGGCAAACATTCCTCCCTGCCTCTTCCAATGAGCTGATGCTGCTCCCCTTCCAAGATGTCAGTGGCTCCAGAGGCTCACGCATGTCCTTTGGTCTCTCCGACCACAATTCCAGGCAGACCCAGGCCCTTCGCAGCTGTCCAGAAGCCACTGCGGGAAGGACAGAGACTGACCCTCAGGTTGCCTAGCCTGTGGCCTCAGGAGTCCTCTCTCTCCTCCCTGAGCTGTGGCCCTCGTGTGTAAGAGACAGAGGGACTCCACCCCTCTGGGTCCTTAGAGCCAGTGCTGGGGGACATCAGGGAAGGGCTGGCTCTGCAGGGAGAGAGGAGGGTCAAGTCCATGTTCTGACACTTTGCGGCTTGGGGAGCTCACGGGCTGCTCCTCATCCAAGAGGCTAGTTCCTAAGACTTCTGTGGAGATGAAATGGATTTTTCTGACAGGGGCTGGGAGCCCTGCTAATGACACATGGCACAACTTCTCACTAGGACTTCTGGAAGGAAGGCGAAAGGGGACACTGGGCAATGGGGAAGGAGGTGCTGAAGGGCCGTATCAAGGTTTTCCTTTGGGAGAAAGGAGTACGATGGGTGAGGGGCGGTGAGACCAAGATTGTTCTGGGGGGCAACCAAGATGGAGGAGCTAGAGTAAGCTTGAAGGGGGAATATCCGCACCTTCATTCGCTTGAAAGGCGGCGCGGAATGTGGGGAGGGCAGAAGAGAGCAGCTCCAAGTGGGCAGCAGGGGCCGGGAGATCACCTCTCAGGGGGGCCGGGAAGCACCACATCAGGCTTTCGGGAACTCTGTGGAAGCTTCCACTTCCTTGAATAACTGTTCTCCACACAAGGATGCAAATAAGTCACTGTTTACCTAGCACTTTCTAGGTGGCAAGCAGCCTGCCTGGCACCTCAGGGGCCTGCTCTGGCCTAATCACCTCCCTAGCCGCACAGGGACCCCCGCTGATGAGAGGTGAGTGCAGAGCAGGGAGGCCACTGGCTCCAGACCATGCAGCTAATAGGAAATCAGGCAGCATCCCAGGCAGTTTCTGGGAGGGGGGGAGACAAGCTCAGAGTAGGGGGTGAGATCTGGTCACATGGTCACCGAGTGGGGACAACTGAGAGGGGACAGGACTTAGGCTGAAGGATCTGAGGGATTAGAACAGGGAGATACACAGTACACACACACACACACACACACACACACACACACACACACACACACACACCAAGCAGAGCCAGGAACTCTGGGTGTGAATCACAGAGGAACACAGAGCAGGCCTTTAAGCAAGACTTTTTCTTCTAATTATTCAAACTGGGAAAAGTTCTACCACAGAGAAAGAGATGGAGCCAACGGCCACACTCCACCAGTGGGCAAAACAGGCCAGATGCTGGAGGACAGGAGTTGGCAAAGATGTCCAAGGCTCCCTGTTGCTCAGTTTCTTTGCTACCCCAAGAGGATGGGCCTTGAAAATGCTAGTGGAATTCTGCGGAGGCGGGTCAGGGCTGGGGGCAAAGGAGAGCCGTGGGGGGTTCCGAGTGAAGGTCTCCTGGTGCCCCATCTGGCGTGGGGTGTCCTCTCGGGTGCCAGTGCTGTGCTGGCTGAGCCCCCCCTCCCATCCCCAGTGCTGGGTGGGGCGGAGGCCCCAGTCAGACCGGATATAGGGAGGAGACAGTGAGGCACCGGCTCTAGCCTGCCTGGGGGCTGCTGAAGGGCCAGGAGGGACTGTCCCCTGCCCGGAGCAGGTCCAGGGAGCTGGCCACCAGCACTAGGAGAGGAGTGCTCCCCGAGGCACCACCCCAACACATCAACAGTGGTGAAAACACAGAGGGTACAAGCCCTGAAATGTTCGCCCTCCAGCAGGGTCTGCTCCCCCAGGAACAAGTGAGCTGGGGCCCTTTCCTCGGCTTTGACCCTGCAGCTCCAATCCTGCATCCTTATCCCAGTCAGGCTGTTGGGCCATGCCACAGCCCTCAGGGAGGACACCCACAGGACAGCAGGGTCTGAGCTGGGCTGTGAAGTCCCCACCCTTTGAGTCAGCCAAGGAAAGGGGCTTCAAACCAGGCCCTCAGAGAAGCCCTGCGGGGGTGGGGGGGGGCTTCCTGAGAGGACAGGGAGCACCCTGGAGAAGATAAGCCCCACCACCCCAGAACTTGAGGGTCCCCTGCCCACCTCTGCCCCAGGCTGCCCCATCCCCCACTCCTGCCCAAGCTGTTTCATTTCCTTTCAGAAAAGTTTGTTTTGGTTTGATATTTGCCTCGAGGCCTCTGGGAGAATTTTCTAAGCTTTGTTTCTGTTCTTGTTTCTAGGATACCTGAGCTGCTTCTCGAGCAACTAGTGCAGCGGGAACAGGAGTGGGGGTGGCTTGGGGCTGAGATCACAGATAGGAAGAGGCCCGGAGCAGGGGGAAGGGCCTGCTCAGGCTCTGAGACTCAGGTGGCCCCGCAGGCCCCCCCAAGCACAGGTGGGAGTTAGAGCACAGAGAAGCTTCCACAGCTGGAGAGGGGCCATTCGCAAAGAAGAAACCAGGAAATGGAGAAGTCAGGAAGCAGGACAGGGCAAAGCTCAAGAGAGGCTCAGGGGCCCTGGAAGTGATTGAGGTGAGGGGGGAGGGGGAAGGAATCCTCCACACCCCACCTGGAAGGCTGGAAGGACAAGGACTGGGCCGGTGGCCAGGCTGGGAACTGCCCTTCAGCAAGGCACGGCCTTGAAGGGCGCCAGTCTTGGGGAAGGGGGAAGGGGGGGGGGGGGGGAAGAGGGAGCTAGGCAGGACAAGAGCTCAATACCCCAGGCCTTCCCTGCCCACCAGGAGCCAGGAGCCAGCCCCACCTCCAGCAAGAAAGAACTCGGCTTTCCCAGGCCAGGCAGGCTGAGAGGAATTCCCCTGGGGCGAGGTGCACGCTGGCAGCACCAGAGATCATCCATCAGGCCTGGGGGAAGGGGGCGGCCACAGGTCCCCTGCACAGAAGCCAGAGGCCCCGAAGGAGACAGCCCAGAAGCAGACAGGAGTTTCCCTCCACAGACCCTGCAGGACCACAAGCTCTTCTCAATCAGAGTGAGCGAGCCCTCGGGAAAAGCAGCCTTCACTGACCCATGTGTGACTATTGTTTGGGGGCCACGCCCCATGGTCACTCCAGGCAGTGCTGGGGGACCATAATCGAACCAGGTGGGCCTCGTGAAAGGGCAAGTGCCTTAGCTCCCCTATTCCAAAGGGACTTTCGAAGAAAAGCAGGCCAGGCGGACAACTGACAGAGCTGGAGTGCACGTCTGGATTCCACCTCCCCACTGCATGGTCCCCAAACGCCTGAATACGAAGCCAGGTTGTGGCCCCTGAGCAGGGCAAGGTGGGGCCCAAGGTCCCCAGTCACTTTAAGACCCAGAGCTCTGTCCCACAATCAGGTGAGGTGGGCTGGAATCCCAGTGCAGGCACCAGCTCTATGTCCTGGAGCGAACTACCTATCCTCTCTGGAACCAGGGGTCCTGGCAGTGCTGCGAAGTCATGTGGTACCAGGGATTAAACCCAGGGTTCTCACATACAAAGCATATACTCCAAATCTTTCAGCTATCTCCAAAGTTCAGGAGTATTTTTTCAGTGCGGCGGGCTGAGTGTTTGGGTGCTCAGAAGTTACTCCCAGGGGACCATGCAGTGACAGAAATCAAGTCTGGGTAAGCCGTAAGGCAAGTACCCTACCCCCTGTACTATTGTTCCTGCCCAGCAAATTATATCTCAACAAAGCTGGTTTTGAAAAATGACAAGGGTAGGGTTAGGAGCTGTGTGGGGTTTAAAGTGGGATTCCTTATTGTATTTTGGGGTGAGGGGAAAGAGTGGATGACAAAGAGAAAGAGGATGGCAGGGTGACAGGGACAACATCCAACCAAGAGCCTTGACCTGACCCCATATCTCCACTACAGAAACAGCACCAAAATACTAGCCTGGACCCACCTCCCAGAAGCTACCAGCAACCAGCCCACCCCATCCTGGCCCTAAGATCTCCTCCAAGGCACTTACCCAGCTGGATAAGCAACCAACCCCGAGCGGGGGTCACAGGCCAAGCCTCTGCCTCCAGACACTGTTATTCCAAGCACTTTCTCCAAGGTCACCTGCAACACAGAGAAGGACAAGTTAGCGACAGCCTGGGGCTGGGGGAAGTACGCTGAGGGCATCGGGCTTGTCCTACAATAAGACCTTCTTCCTGACTCCCCAGTCCCCTGTGGGGGTGTGACTCCCCTGTCCTCTGTGGGAGTCTGACTCCCCTGTCCCCTGTGGGGTCCTGACTCTCCTGCCCCCTGTGGGGGTCTGACTCCCTTGTCCTGTGTGGGGATCCTGATGTCCCTGCTCTAGGGTGGAGGGATCTAGCCTTCCCAGTTTCTGCCCTGATCAGACTCTGGAGCGTATGGGGAAGCAGCGTGCACCACCAGCTCTAACCAGATTGAGGATGAGAGCCACGTGGAAGCTGAGTGGCAACAGTTCAGCTCGAGGCTCCCACACAAACTAGGGCCCAGGGAGGTCATTGATCTTCAAGGCTGAGCAGACAGCAAAGAAAGGCTGCTCTGATTTGCCGGGAGCCAGAGACTGTTAGGTGTCAATTAGGTGACTCATCCTTCCCGGATCTGCGTTCCATCACGTTCTTCCCCGCCTCACAGGGCTCTGCCCAAACTGAGGGACTGAGGAATTGACAGGAGCCCAGGAAGGCTGGCACTGAGCTCTGTGAAGCACTGTGTCAAACATGCCCAGACTACACTGAACTAGGACAGCTAAGCCCCACTTCCTGCAGAGTACAAAAGGGGCATGCACAGTGCTCAGGGGGGCTGACGGGACAACACCGTGGAGATCTCCATCACTGTTCTCAGAACCTCGTCACCCCCCCCCCCCATGACCATAGTCCCACCACCATGGTCTCAGTTCCAGAGCAGAGCCCCCGGAAAATCTACTTTAAATGAAAGATCCCGCCAACACTGCACCCAGGGGGCACCATCAGTCCTATGCCCCACATTGTGGGGTTGATGTAGCACTGCAGCACTGTTCTCCTGCTCATCAATTTGCCTGAGCGGGCACCAGTAATGTCTCCATTGTGAGACTTAGATAAAGATAAAGATAAAGGCCCTCCCGTTGATCGTCGATTTGCTCGAGCGGGCCCAGTAATGTCTCCATTGGAGACTTTGTTGTTACTGTGTCTGGCATATCGAATACTCTCGGTAGCTTGCCGGGCTCTCCGAGAGGGACGGAGGAATCGAACTCAGGTCGGCCATGTTGGCCGCTTGTAAGGCGGACGCCCTACCCGCTGTGCTATCACTCCAGCCCTTGAGCTTATTGTGAGACTTATTGTTACTGTTTTTGGCATATCAAATACGCCACAGGGAGCCTGCCAGGCTCTGCTGTGCGGATGGGATAGCTTGCCGGATGGAGGAATCGAACCCGGGTTGGCTGCGTGCAAGGTAAACGCCCTATCCGCTATGCTATAAGCTCCAGCCATGGTATTGATGTAGGCAGGTAAATAGGGACAGGCCCTGGACAATGATACTTGATCAACAAAACTTCTGGGAGAAAAATTCTAAGGCTGATCCACCCTTAAGCAGCAAAGGACCCTGAGGAGATTGGACCCCTCCCCATGAAGAAAATTCCTCGAATACCCTGGACCCCTCCCTTACTCTGATTAACTTTAGTGAGTCAGTTCAAAGAAGACCATCACCACTCCCAACTTCCCTGGTAACCTCCTTAGCAACAGACTTTTACCTAGGAAGAAGCCCCACATGGGGGCAGGGTGGAGAAACCCTAAAAAGTCACCTTGAACAAAGGAAGGGGGCGCATGTGCTGCCGGAGCCCATGTGCTGCTTGAGCCCATGTGGCCGAGCACATGTGGTGCCTAAGCACATGTGTCGCCCACATCTCCCTTCTTGAGATGTGTACTTTCATGCTTTCGTGTCTAATGCTGGGATGTGTCTAGGGGCCCTCTCCGCCATTGGAGAATCCTCTCTCTCTCTCTCTCTCCCCCTCTCTCCCTCTCTCTCTCTCTCTCCCCCCCCTCCCCACCCTCCCTCCTTCCCTCTGTCTCTGTCTCTGTCTCTCTCTCTCTCCAAATAAAATCTATTTACTTCACTGCCTGTCTACTCCTGAAATTCCTTTCTGTGAGACGAGACAAGAACCCAGTAACCCTGGGTCCCGGATGGCAGAGGTAGATGGTGAGAAAGTGTCCATCTTTCTCCTCTCCGCTTTACATAAGCCACCTGTGGGGCCCACTGACATCAGTTTCACCCACCTTGAGACCTGGGCTGGTCAATCAGTAGGTGACCAGAAACTTGGGCTTGGCCCTCCACTTGGTTCTGTCACACCCTCAGTTGCTTTCCGTGTTCCCTGGCTCAAAGAAGGGCTCTGAGGGTCGAGAGGTACTGCCTGAGGAGAGGCAGAGGCCCCTGTAGAGATTCAGGTTTCCCCTTCTCTCTCACTGACTTCACCATGCTCCTAAGGGGCCAGTTTAGATTCCTGTCCCCAAGAACTGGTTTAGTCCGAAGTCAATGAAAAGAAACACCTTGCAATGGTCAAAGACCAAACCAAGTCGTCTGGGATGTCACGGATAAAAACTAATTCCTGGGGCTAGAGAGATAGCACAGCAGGTAGGGTGTTTGCCTTGCACGCAGCCAACCTGGGTTCAGTCCCCAGCATCTCCTATGGTACCTCAAACACCACCAGGAGTAATTGCTGAGCATAGAGCCAGGAGTAACCCCTGAGCCGGGTATGACCCAAAAAAGTCAAATAAATAAAGAAAATAAAAATTAAAGAACAAAATAAAACAAAACTTCGTTCCCTGGTTTGGTCCCCAACAGTTTCTGGTGGCTCTTGGAACCCCAGCAGGAATCCAACAAGTGTCTATTGATTCCTTTCAGTGCAGGGCACTTCAGACCAGAGCCATTATGCCGGCACGAATGTGCCTGCAGGCTCGGCTGAGGCACTAAACCTCCTGTGAGATCAGGCAGCTTTCGCAGGGGGCGGGGGGATGGGTGACACCCATCAATGTTCAGGAATTACTCCTAGCTTGGTGCTCAGGGATCACTCCTGAAACAGGACTCAGGGGACCACATGAGGTAGCACTGTAGCACTGTCCTCTGGCTGTTCATCGATTTGCTCGAGCGGGCCCAGTAATGTCTCCATTGTGAGATTTCTTGGTACTGTGTTTGGCATATCGAATGAGGTACCAGAATCAAACTTGGGTCAGCTGCATGCAAGGCAAGTGCCTTAGCCGCTGTACTACCTCTGCCCGCAGTGTCCATACAGTTCGGAAAGGGGGTAGGAAGGAGCTATGCTCAGGGCAGGAAATCCATGGATTCAGACGTGCATGGATCGGATCCCTCCCTCAGCTTAGACTTGGTTCCAAAAATTCAACCAGTCGGCTGGTTCTGGGATTCTGATAGGAATCTGGGTGGGTGTTTTGTGGGCAGATGGTCCCTGTCCACCAAGAGTTGATGCTAAAACTAGAGTGGACAGTTCAACTGCCATATAAAGCAGGAAGGAGAGAGCGTTACTCAGGCCCTGAAGACCATGTTTACCCAACTTCTCTGACCACAAACCACGGTAAGATACACATGGTGTCTCACAATCCAGGGTGCACGCACACAAACGTGTGTGTGTGTGTATGCGAGCGCGCGCACGTGTGAGCGCGAGTCGTGTAGAAAACTGAGTTTCACTGAAGAGCAGTCCCACTGGTGGCCTGTGAGGTCTTTTCTTTTCTCTTCTACTCTGTCTCATTGAAAAGTAATGCTGGTCACACTCGACTGACTCCCAGACGGACTATCAGGCTTGGCAGCTCGGGTCTGAGAAAGCAAGCTACTGCAGACAGTCTCTTCCGCTGGCCCCGCTTGCAGGCTCTGACCTCATGCACTCTCGGCCACTTTGCTGTGGGGTCAGTGGTCGGAGGAGCTGACTTCCGGATCAGAAAGCTACCCCCTGGGCACGAGTCTGCCAGGGCTCAAAACTTGGCTTATTTTCAAACGCATTTTTGGTTTGGGCTGTTTCTGGCTTTCTGACCAGCTCTCCAAGAGGGGGAAAAAGTAGTTTCCTTTGGCTCTGGGGAGGGGGAGGAGCAGGGGAGAACAGTCAGGGGCATCAGCTGGTTTTTATTTTATGTTCTAACTAAAACCAGTTTCCTGTTTGCAGGGAGGTTTGGGCGGAGTTCCACTTTCAAAGGATCTGAGAGTCCACAGCTCCTGCAAGGCCTTGGACATGAAGAAGGATAAGCCACCCTCTCTCTCTTTCACAGTCCCCTCCTTGGCCACCCTTTCCAATAAGGGGCACAGTCCCATCGATCCCTGTAAATGGAGATGAGGTGGTATGCCCCCTGCAGACATGGAGCAAACTAAACTCCCCCAAGTCCAAGGGACGTGCATGAGTCAGCCAGCACTAGCTCCTGCTTCCCCAGGGCCACTCAAGGAAGGCGGAAGTGACCATGGTGGGGAATGCTTACACCATGGACAACTCAGCCAGCACTATAAACCAAGGCCTTTTCTCCTCAACATTTGGGGCTGGAGCCATGGAACAGCAGGTTGGGCACTTGCCTTACACGTGGCCAACCCGGGTTCAATCCTCGGCATCCCATATGGTCCCCTGAGCACTGACAGGAGTAATTCCTGAGTGCAAAGCTAGGAGTAAACTCTGAGCATCGCTGGGCGTAGCCTCCAGACATAACAAAACAGGTGCCAAACTTTCACCAAGTCACCTCTTAGTTGAAGCGGCCATGCTCTTCCTGTGGCTGTATTTTCCCGTGGGCCCTCTGCCTCAGCCCAGCCCACGGTTTCTGCATGACAATCACAGAGATTCTTTCTAACACACAAGACAGTACTGGGCAGTACTGTCAACGTGTTGAGCACATGCCTTGCATGTGTGAGGTCCTAAGTTCGGTCTCTGGATCCTGAAAAAGCCCTGAGCACTGCTGGAGAGGCACAAGCCCCACCACAAAAAATGAAATTCAAATATCCATGAGATCATGTCATCACTCTGCCATAAACCCTCCGTAGCTACCGATCTTCTGTACATACTGGGCTAGAGAGGTAGTACAGAGGGTAGAGCGCTTGCTTTGCATGTGATCAAGCTGGATTCCAACCCTGGCATT